CATCAGTCGATCTTTTACATTTTCCAAATCATTCAAAGAATTCAAACTTCCAGAACCTTCTACCAGAGATGATTTCGCTGTTGGAGATGACCGAAACGGCGCCGCCAGTGAATCGGATTCCGGCGATGCAACGTCGTCGTGGTCGAATATGTTGCCGGAGCTGTTGAGAGAGATTATACAGCGAGTGGAAGCTTCGGAGGACAGTTGGCCTCTACGTCAAAACGTCGTCGCTTGTGGATGTGTGTGTAAGAGATGGAGGCAAGTTACTGAGGATGTAGTTGAGTCGTCTCTTCAGGCTGGGAAAATTACTTTCCCGTCTTGCCTTAAACAGGTGCAAATTGCTTTTAACTTTTTTTTTTTGACCTCAATTATTATTATTGTTTTTTTTTTTGGTATTTTCTGTGATTTTAGTTAATTGGAGGTTTGAATAGTGTAATTTTAGGTCGTTTGAGCTTTGATTCCGTAAATTTGTGTGTTGTTGTATTGTTCTCATTGTTGCATAAGCTTAATTGTTGTGGTGTTGTGAGAAGTGAAACACTGAAGAAAGGAAATGAAGGGAAGTTCTGGAGTTGGTAATTTTGGGTGGGAGTGAAAATGTGAAATAGGGCTGATTATAGAGAGGAATAGAAATAGTGGATTTGTATAACCGTCCAGACTATTTTGGATCAAGGTGTAGTTGATCGATTGTAGTTTTGTAGTCTAGTGAACTTGTTGTTTTTCAGCTGGGAGTACAATGGGATTTCCTTTTGAGCTTGCGGATTGTCCCTGTTGTATACGCGTTAGGCTAGATTAACTTCTTCCATTCTGAATTTGATCAACTCTTACAACAACGAGTTTCCTGTATGTGTAAAAGGTGCACCGTTACTTGTTCCAGTAGATGAAGCAAGCTGATGGAAGAAAAGTGGGAAATATTTTTACTGATCTTTTCGAATACTGGGTTGGTTTCAGTTATAATTCAGCTGAAAGAAATACTGTAGCTTGATTATCTGTATAATGTAGGTAGTTAGGTGCTTAGTTTACTTCGTTTTTGTATTTTTATCTATAATGTTTAATGCAGCTGTTAATGATGCCTTCTTTCTCCAATTTTCTTCTGCAGCCAGGGCCTCGGGACCCTCCTCTTCAATGTTTCATCAAACGTGACAAGAAGAACGCAACCTTTTACCTATATCTCGCTCTTTCACCCTGTGAGTTGTTACTTTGACAAATATTATTTTCAGGAATTTAGCCTTGGGAAATTGGCTACTAGCTGCAGTAATTGATGTTTGACTTCATGAAAATGCTGGTTGGGACTGTACTTTAGGTGGTTGCTTAGCAACTGAATGGCATACGCTTTAAATTGCCTTTGAATCTTTCTGGGTCAATGACTTGGTCTGCATGTTTTGTTTAGACTTTATATCAGCATTGACTATTCAACTAAACACTCATTGACTTATCAATGGAAGTCTCAATCATTTATTGTCTACATGTTCGCACCTATCTTTATCGTGCTCCCATCTTTCTTTCATCAAGATTTGAAATCTTCCATAATCCGTTTTAATATTTTAATCTCTTAAAGTTAGAATAGTTAAAAGCACTTGAAAGTTTGCCTGTACTTTCTTGGCAATTTACAAAGTCTAAAGACATGCACAGTTATTATCTTTTTTATAAGCATGACATGAAAATTCATCATGATTATTTATTTTCATTTCACATTTTATCCGGACTCCGTGTAATAAAAGACTGTTGTATTGTATTTTTCATTCCTATTTCACGAAAGCTATTAGTTTGATGGATGGTTTGAGTCTGATACTCCAATTACTAAAACAGATACTGTTTCAAAGACGTGTAGACTCATCAGTCATAATATGTTGCTCCTAGTTGTTAGAGATTTCTCTATTATTTTTGAATGTTTTCTTGGTATTTATATTTGGCAGCGTTAATGGACCAGGGGAAGTTCCTCTTAGCAGCCCGGAGGTACAGAAGTGGTGCTCACATTGAATATATAATATCTCTTGACGCAGATGATTTGTCTCAGAGAAGTAAGGCGTATGTTGGGAAGTTAAGGTAAATATTAGTTGACCCCTTAAAATTAATACTGATGAAGGCCATTTCTTTGCTGTTATATGTGTTCAAAGTTGTCAGGCAAAAAGAATCTGAAGGCCAAAGCTAGGCGGTATCTTTAAAGTCCTAATAATCAGAAATATCATAATTCTCACTAACACGTCTAGTTTCATATATGTAGCTTGACGACTAGATGCCGATGTTGAATTTAGGAAAAATGATGTTTATAGAAAAATATAGAATGACATGGCTAGAACTCGGTAGAGTGCAGGTGAAAATTATACTAATTAATAATTATATTTCTTCTTTGAGATTGACATAACCTAAGTTCGAAGAAAAGATTCCGTGGATATATAATACATAGTTGTTGTTGTATAAAGTAACATGTACATACTTATTATGTACACAACGTGTTTCAACCTTATGTTGCTTCTTCTTGCTGCATGTTTGGTTGATCCTGTAGAAGTTCAAAAGGTTCTCTTCCAGATCGTGTTTCACAAAAGAATGAGAAGAATAGAGGAATACCAAACCTTACCAATACATATGATATCTGATGAAAAATTAAAATCTAGATGTGCAATAAGAGTCACTAGTATAGTGTCAAATGTGTCTTCCTTCTAAGTGTATCAGATACAAAACTTGTTTTGTTGGGAGATATTTGGTGTCACACATTAGAAGCCAAATTGTGAGGCATTTTTTGTCTAAAAGGTCAACTGGTTTGATATGTTGCTACAAAGCAGAGTGGCTTGAACAGGCTGCTTAGTGATCTAGAATGCTAAGAGAAGAGGGTGCATCAAGACTAAGTAGTGGTGTTGAGGTGGGACGAGAATATTTGTGAGGCATTCCAAATAGTCTTGCTGGTTATACCTTAGATTTTTTTATTTGCATACCTTTTTGATGTCCCTCATGCAATGTCTCTATTAATATTTTGCAAGAAAGAAGAATCCTGGCATGGTGAAATTCAACTCTTTAGGGATAAAAATTCTGGCTATATTCTTAAGCTATAATTTATGTGATAGATAGTCTACCTAATTTCGCAGATCTTGTTACTTTTGTGTCCCGAGCAACTGAATTGTTTTTAGGCTGGCAACTGCTGATAATACCACTGACAGAATTCTCGGAACATAAAATTTTTAGAAAGAAGAATCCTGGCATGGTGCTATTTCTTCCTCTCTTTATTTCCAAATATTACGTCAAGATATCCAAGTCTCGGAACATAAAATTGTTTGGTATCTAGACGTTTACCCATCTTTGCTGCCATGTAACTGAGAACACTAATCTTGATACAATGAATTAACATGCAATTGTACACTTCTGATCATGCAGACAAGGTTAACTTCAATGTTAATGTTCCTCTGCTAGTTAGTTTTTCATCAAACAATTACTTCAGTTGAAATATGACACATTAATTAGGAAGGAAATCTACTCTTCTTATTTGGAACTGTACTAAGGAAGGAAATCTACACTTTCCTATTATGGCTTGCCCTTAAGGAATCTGTTCAATCGTCGGTACAAAAAATGATGATGCTTGCAGCTGGAAGTACACAGCTGTATCACCCCCCTTAACAAAAGTGTGCTGGTACCCTTTTCATTTAGTGGCCCATAGAAACGTTCTTAAAGATAGTCCCATCAATGTTGTTTCTTTGTTGTTAAGGTTTCTTGCCTTGAGAGGAAGTTAGAAAATTGAATGCTTTATTTGGACTTTTTTGTTGTCTTTTTTACTCTCCTTTCCTAACCAGATTTTCCGTTTGAGTCTTGCGTTCAATGTCATTAGCTGGAGAAACAAACATTTAAATACATCACTAGAAACAACAACACAGTAAAAAGCATGTAATGTCGCCTATCTCTTGGCCAAAGCTTAATTTTCCTTTTTAACTTGCAATATCCCACCCTAATACCTGTGTTTCCCTGTCATTATGATAGATAAGTATTCTTCCAAGTAAGGGGAGAAGAAAAGATGTGTTCTTATTTTCATTCTTGTTTGTTCCTTCATTTTCTAACCTTCCTATTGAATCCAACTGACAGATCGGACTTTCTTGGAACCAATTTTACCATATATGATAGTCAACCCCCACACAATGGGGCAAGGCCATCAAGCAGCCGGTCTTGTCGACGTTTTGCAAGTAAGCAAATTAGTCCCCAATTACCAGCTGGTAATTTTGAAGTGGGAAATGTTTCCTACAAGTTAAACCTGTTGAAGTCTAGAGGACCAAGGAGGATGATATGTTCACTCAAGTGCCCCTGTCCTGGAGAAGCTGTTATTGACAAATCTCAGGATGCTCCGAAGAAGAAGCAACCTGGTTCCGCAGAAGCCAACTCTACAGTTCTGAAAAACAAAGCTCCACGGTGGCATGAGCATTTGCAATGTTGGTGTTTAAATTTCCACGGAAGGGTCACCGTTGCATCTGTGAAAAACTTTCAGCTAGTTGCAACAATGGACCAAAGCCAACCTGATGGAAAAGGTGACGAAGATACAGTTATCCTCCAGTTTGGGAAAGTAGGAGATGATGTTTTTACAATGGACTACAGGAAGCCGTTGTCTGCTTTCCAAGCGTTTGCAATTTGCCTGACCAGTTTTGGTACAAAATTGGCCTGTGAATAGATTCTTAATAACTTGTAATATGCTTCCTAGTTTGCTTTCGTCTTCTTTTTCTTTGGGTGCACAATGACACTTTTATTTAATCTAGTATTCTCTATTCGTGCTAAATCTAAATTTAGTAAATGTTAGTAGATGGTCGGACCAAGTGTATTTTAACCTTTATGAGAATTTCAACATCAATGTAACAAATAGCGGAGTTCTCTGTACTACACGGGGCAATTTCCGCGAAACACATTCCTGCTCATAGTAAATTGTTTCTCTACATCTGTAGAAACTCACTCTTCATAATAATAACTTAATTCTAGACAAGTGCTAAAAATGCATAGCACGCAGTAACAATGCTCATACAAAATCATTCACATATGGTTATTATTTTTTTATATATAGAAGAGGTAACATCTCCATTAGTATAGAATTGTAGCATCAAATTATATTCCACACTGCAAAGGGATATACTTTGCATTTTCCCATATGTCAATTATGTCTTCCATTATATCTCAAATGCTGATCCTCACAGAAGTGAGAACTATTTCTAAAGAAAACGGGAAAGCACAAAGACAACATCCCTTGCACAAGCATAAACGTCTTATTTTTCCACAGAAGTAACACCCATTTAGCCAAGAAATTCACAACCATCAATCCATACACAGGCATAAGCACCACAGTGGTTATAGAAAGAGGGCTAACAGAAAAAGTTGTCCATGTACATGACCACAGTTAGAACTGGAATAGAGATTTGAGAAGCCAAGAGGCTCTTCATTTCTTTCCTCTGAGTTTTGCACCAAGAGCTCTCTCCAGTTTAGAGATGATTTGTTGATTTGGAATTGCCTTTCCTGACTCATACTCCTGGATGATTTGAGGCTTCTCATTTATCAGCTGCAAAACAACAAGGAATATTAGAAACCATTTATTTTCACACAGATTATGGAATCAGTCACCTGGTACTCGCAATCTGTTCATTTTCCCCTTTTTCTACTTCCTTTTTAAGTCTTAGGGGGATGGTTGGGGAGGAGGGAGACAGAAAAATGGTATACCTGAGCAAGTTGAGACTGAGTCAGCTTCTTATCTTGTCGAGCTTGCATGATGGCTTTCTTTAGTTCAGTTGGTACTTTTTGATCTGACAACAAGGTAAAAAACGAAAAATTTCAAGCAGATATTGTCATAGGAAGGAATGAGTTTGTTGTGGTACAAAATATTACTATATTGTTTGCTGAGGATGAAATGCATACATAAATGAGTAGAAACAGATACAGAAGTCAAAACAGCTCAAACAACAAAATTAGATCATTAAATAGCAGGAGATCTATCAGAGTGAAAAAAGGAGAACATATAAAAGAGAAGAGAGAGATCACAAATGAAATAAAGTAATTAACCGCGCTATCCCCAGCAACATGACATCACATGCATAAGAATTGTGGATATTGAATAAAACAATTTCTAGCGGGAATGAATATAGCAGAGTGCATAATGTGTTTATGAATAAAGCAGTATAGATGTAGAGAAAGCATTCAAGGATGATTTTCATTTGACAGGGTAGATGTGTTCCCAAAACATTTTGACTCGCAGACCTTAAGAAGGAATCTTCTTCTCACTATAATGAAGTTCAAAGAAATTTCAAAATTTTGCAAAATGTAAACACATTCGTTGATGGAAGTATGTGTTTGAAACATCAGAAGTAGTTAACATAATACCCTCAAAATAATGTAGAGGAGATCAAAGTTAACACCAAAGAACAATTAGAAGCAAGCATGACTTCAACCAAAAGAACACAACATAATCTAAATATGATGTATGCTCGTACACACATTTCTAATTAAGTTGTAAAAGGTGTTGCTTTAACTTACGAGCCAGATTCTCAGTATCTTCATCAAGTTTCCTGGTGTTCAAGGTCGTACTACTAGAGGCAGCCCTGTTTATGCCAGCAGTAGCTGCAATAGAAGATAGATATTGTAAGCACCGACTATCCCTCAAAAACAAATACACACAAGTTTACTAATAGGAAAAACGGGCAACATAGAAATTGGAAAAAAAAGAAAGGACTTTGGACGGAAAGATTTGTGTGTTTCGGGGTGGGGGGGAGCTCAAAAGAGAGTATTCAATAGCACTCATCATATTGCCATGCAAGGACCCTCATATTTGTAAAACTTTACACACTAACAACATAGAATATATCCTGAAGTATCTGCAACGCACTAGAAAACGTATATCAAAATGAAGAAATGTTAGATATGTCCCATCAAACATCTCATCTCTACAAATAGGGAATTCATTTTCATTCACACCTCATGGTTTCTAGTTACCAGATTCAACTATAGATTCCAGATTCAATGAATATTGAAAGAAACTTCAAGTTTCAAATGAGTGAAGGTAGCATGACGCAATACTACAATGATTGAAAATTCTAGTATGAAAGGATAAGGAAGACACGTTTAAGGATTATACTTCTACTCAACTTTCCTAGTTACGAATGTACAGCAAGAGCATGGAAATTAGACTGGCGTGAGAAGGATGATAAAAGACTTCAATCTACCCAAAATAAGCAGAAAACAGTTAATTGCCAGCAACTGGAAGCTCTGATTCTCATGAAAATCAACAAGTTTGGTCTTCATAAGCACCCCATCCCACTGCAGAGATAATACACCAGTCCTTAAGGTGGTCATATACCCAAAAACATTTCAACTAAACAGTATACATACTTGAAATAGCTTAAAATATGCACGTACATCAATCAATCAAACATAAACACATAGAAACAAGCAATAATCGTAACCAAAAAAAATATGAAAACCCTAGCTGAAGACTTAGCATAATCGGAGCTGCATATAGAAATAAGAAAATTGAGCAATACAAGAGTCAGCAACAATAATCGAGCTAGAAATCTCTATCGAAATAAAACCAACAGATTATACGAGCAATCGAAGAAATGATTAAGCTAAGGTTAATAATTAGAACAGCATCATATATATGAGCGTTGTAGAGATGAAAAAAACGAAGCAGCGAGTAGGTTACGAACATTTTCTGATGGTTTCGATCTCAGCACCGGAGCGACGGGCAGCGTTAACAGCTTTCTCATCCTTGCGTGCGGCGGCGGTCGGCGCCTTCTTACGGATCACCACCGGCTCCCAGTCTTGTGATAATCCTCCACTCATATTTTTTTTTTCTTCTGCGGGAAAAATCTCTCTCTTGCTTCTCCTTTCGCTTTGTTAGTACGCTCTTCAAAATTATTCCATTTCTGTGCTTATAGCGCTTTATATAGACGGATACTAAAAAATTACTCAAATCAATGCAACTTATTATAGTTATAATTAAATAATTTATTTTTTCTTGTTCATTGAATTATAAAAGATATTTTTAAATTTTTATTTAGCATTTTAGCATATGTTTTTTTTTATATTTACTTCTCGATATTAGTTACTTATATCAATTAATATAAATATGATAATAAAAAACTCATAATCAGTGTATTTTAATATTGTTATGTATTTATTGATTTGAGGTCAAATATACGGATAAGTTTGCATCTTTGAGGTTTATGGTCTATCCGAATTGGTCTTTTTAAAATTCTTTTTTTCTTTTCTCCATTGGAAGTTATTGTAATTTTATATTCCTCTTCTTCAATATGGTCAGTTTATTCCTTTATCTGCTAAAATAGTTTAGTTTATAGTTTATATAATATTTGAGCCCCTATTATTTATTTTCACATGAAGAAAGAAAAGGAAAATTAGACTTCTTGAGTATTAGTGTTATTCCCTTGGGGATTGATTAACCACTATAAATTTAAATTGAGATTCTTTAATACACGGTTTAAAAACTCTTGTCTTTTTAAAAAAAAAACTAGAATTAGAGTTGTCACCTCTCTGAATTTTGAAAATTACAATCATTTTGTCATGTCATACATTTTTCTTTTTAAGTCGCATTATATGTCAATATATTGCTGAGAACGAAACACTAAGGGTGTGTTTGGTACGAAGGAAAATGTTTTCTTGGAAAATAATGTTTGGTTGGCGAATAGAAATTTTTTTTTGGAAAATACTTTTTAATGTTTGGTTGATGAACGAAAAAATATTTTTTTTATTTTTGGCTTGAACTAGAAAATACTCTTTAGAAAAATATAATTTTTAATCCAATAATCGATCTAGGACCCGACACTTAACACCCAAACTAGGATACAACCCCGACGACCGTTCCAAAATCCAATCCAGGACCGGACCCAGATTTCCAATTGCGGGGGAAGGTGGGGGTTGCATGAAAAATAATTGTTTTTTAAAATTTTGAAATATATTTTTTTAAAAATAAAATTAGCAGGGGTGGCTACTAGGTAGGGGATAGAGGTGGTTTGGGGGTAGGAGGAATGGTTTGGGGGTAAGGTTAAAAAAAAAATTAATATAAGAAAATACGAAAATTTAAAATTTTAATTTTTTTTATGGGAGGGTCGAGTAAGGGGTACGGGATAGAATAAGGAAAAAAATATTGAAAGTTAAGGATGAAGTAGAGTTTTGAAAAATATTTTCCTTAATTTTTTAAGGGAAGTCATTTTTCTTAAATTTGAGAAAAATAAATTGATCGGAAAACATTTTCCAAAATATTTAAGCCAACCAAACATGAAAAAATTAGAAACTTCATACCAAACACATCCTAAAATTTTGCTCGTCAATATAGTTGTGACGGGGACAACTTGTGTGCACCTTCATTATCTGGTCGGGTACCTGCTACCTACCACTAGAACAAAAGCATTCAGAGCATTTGCTGTCAATGGCAAATGTAACGTCTTTTTGAACAAAGTGGTTCACCTAGAACACTTCCAACAGAGATTTTCCATCTAAATACAAAACCATATTCTCTGAAGTCTCAACTACATGCATCTAAACAAGGAAAAGTAGAAATTAAGACATGGCCTAGAACAAAAGATCTCAAGTGCTTACGTTCCGAGCTCACTTACTTTTTCCTGCAAGTAGCGGTTACACCATAGTTGGCAGTACTACTAACTATTACATAGGTTTCCGAGTTTTGCTAGACTATTACAAACCAAGAGACTGACTTTTTTCCTAATATAGTAGCCTTCTTTATCTTGTTGTAGGGTTGGTACTAATCCATGGCGGCACATTCAAACAAAAACACTGGTTGATGTAGAGGAGATCTCTTGGAACCTTCCATTGCCAAAATGTGTGCCACCTTGTTCCCTTCGCGGAAACTATGCCAGATTGGAGGATTCCCCAGTTTCTTCATAAGGCACCTGGATTCAGCAATAATGTTAGAATAAAGTGGGGGAGGGTTATTCATAAGAGCTATTACCTCTGTGGCATCAGTTTTTATCTGGGAGTTTGTGAGTGCATGCAGTTTGGAGTTTTTCATGAATTTGAGATCTATGTGAGTGGGGTTTAGTGCAGTAGTTTTTCTTGAAAAGCCCCTAATCCAGTTACCATTATTGTCTCTAAAGACTCCACCTATTCCTTGAACAGAAGTGGTCGGATTGTAAGCACCCTGCACATTAAGTTTCAAACCATCGGCAGTGGGGGGCTGGGGGCAAACCATAAATGGTTGTCAAGTTTATGGAGTACATCAATTCTAAAACTCCGGCTGTGGTCTGATTGGAAGGGATTTCCTTAGCAGAATTGTTGAAAACATTGTGGTTTCTGTTGATCCATATATGCCCGAGGACAAGAGGGAAGCAAAAGTCCCATTGTAATAGCATACGAGGTAGGGTAGGCGAAATGGTTTTAAAGTTCTGAAGACAATTACAAGTATTGGTAGATGAGTGTATATGGATATTGAGAGAGTTCCAGAAATGTTTTGCAATTGTATATTCACTGAATATGTAAATTAAAGTCTCCTCGCCATTGCTACTGGGTCGAAACATGTGAAAGTGTCAAACATTTTGACGTTCCAAACTAAAACATATAATTAAAGGAGAAAAAGTACTATAAAGATTAAATTTTTTAATGAAACAGTGCATAAAACATATAAATTAGATGAGATAAAGTACTATAAACATAAATTTTTTATAGGTTCATATATGTTGAAAATAATTGAGAAAATGGTTGTTGCTTTACCTTTCAAATACTAACAGTGACATGTTCCATATGGAGAAGGTAAGTAAATATTGGATAGCAACCTGGTAGGGGAATATACATGGCACATTCTATGAAGAAGTAAAAGACACGAAGCCTTACCACATGATCAGATACACCCTTTGCATTCAATTTTTGTGTTTCAAGAGTGAGAAAGCTGAGATCTTCCAAGAGTCCATCAACACCAGCTTTGCTCACGGAATTCTCCTAAAACAACATACAAGCCAATCTAATGGTGTGAAATTCCAGCTCCGTAATAATCATAGCATAGAAGAAATAAAGAGAAATACACAGGACAGAAATTGAAAAGAAGATATACGAGCCCAAAAACTTCACCGGACATGACAATCCCCCCCCCCCCCCCCACACTCACAACTTCTGTCGACACTTGCAAGTGAATTATGCTAAAGATAAAATACAATAACATACATGCAAGTCCAGACACTTGACCTAAGTTGCTCGGACTCTTCACTTGTGATGCTGGACACGACATGGGTGTGGGATCTGTGTCCGATTTGGTCAACCAATTTTGGGTACTTTGACCAAAATCAATGGGGAAAGACTGGACATTTTAATGATTTCTATAATCAATACAAAAGCTAAGATGAAATTGAAGAAAATGAAATACATTTTATATAGAAATTTCTATGTCACTCCTTTTCCTTTAATCGCCTTCTAGGATTCTCACCAAGTTCTCCACAAAATATCTCATAATTTAGGTTTTATAACTCTATTTTTAGATATTTTAATTATTTTTAGGCGAATCCCCGCATCCGTATCCATTTATGGATCCATATCCCCGAATCTTAAAAATTAAATCATGAAGGATCCAACCTCTAGATCCGCACCCGTATCGGACACCCTCACCCGAGTCCGCGCAACTTAGCATAGCAGGACATTACCATGGGAACTAAATGCAATATCAAAAAACTCACCCCCTCAGCATTCTCTTTGGTTGTTTCAGAAGTACCTTTGCCGAGATCTCCCAAGCTTCTATCAACAGTGGCTCCACTTAGAGAGTTCTGCTAAATACAAAATACAGGTCAGCTAACACTTAGCATAATCTCATTTAATATACATAGTACATAGAAACTACTAGCCATCAAACGGACCTCTAATTTTGCAGAGCAACAATCTTTTCCTTGTTGGCTTTCATCAATCAAAGACAACTTCGACAGAGACACTTCAGTATCGCTGATACTTACAGAACTTGTGGATTTGCAATGACCACTCAAACCGTCATCCCCACCATCATCATCTACATTCCCCTGCAAGATTGCAAACTGATAAAAACATTGGCTTTGCATGTCAAGGTAATGACTTGACGGACATATTTATTTCACTCTGCTTGACATAAGCATTTTGATAGCTCGAAGCTTGTACATATAAGACATAAACTTACTAACAATTTCAGCATATAACACAGTCTATCTATCTATCTATCTATTTGGGGATGATTTACAATCAAATTGTTGAGCTATGTCCAATTAAAACCAAAACCTACAGTAAACAGTTACCTGAGCCTTAACTGGTTTATCAGAAGATCCACCGAGCTTAACGCCTGCAGAGAGGACAATGGAAGGCAGGCTATTAACATCCCAACCAAGAATTTCACAGACAACTTTACAGTAAGCCCGATGAGCTCGTCTCTTAGAGGTTTTCGCAATGCTTATGGAATGCTGAACAAGAGATGAACAATCCTTAAACCTCTTCCACCCTTTCTCACGAACCCCACAACAAACAAGACAACAAAACACCCCATTCTCTCGATTTTTCTCATAGTACTCTCTTAACCCATCATCCTGCTTAAACAACTTCACAAAAAAATCATAGTCCTGAAACCCCTCTTCCCCATCCAGAAAACCCTCATCCCCATTGATGAAATAATCCCCATCTTCACCTATATACTCAGAAAACTCGTCATCGTCGTCTAGACTGAGTGTGGAGTTCAAATATTCAGCAACTTTGAGCAATGCCGGAAGTTGACTGCTGTTCGCAGCTTCGTCTTCGGCGGTAGGCAAAGGGGTTTGTAGCTTTGATTTGTTACTGTCGTTTTGCCAACTAGTAGGCCAGCCTGAAGATTCAACGACGGGTTTACAAGGCCACTCAACATCGCCGGAATCTGGAATTGGGTCGGAATTTTCGAGGTCAGTATCGGTTTTCCAGGCCATTTTTGCTTTCTAAAATTTCTTCTTGGTCTATGTAGAATTGAAGGGTTTTATGAAGTGTTCGCCTCCTAGGCGCTTGAAATAATAAGACCTTGACTTAATTCAAAGTATTTCAAATTATATTGGGAGATTTCAACAATAACATAATCATTAATCAATGTAGATTTTATTACTATGTTAGACGTAGAGAGAATGTTTTTGATATATTTATAACCGTCAGCTTGATTGAAAAAAGGGTCCAAAATAATACTTATATAAAAAAAATAACTATAGTAAATTAAAGGAAGTCATGACAAAATATTATAACAGAGTCATTGCAATAAAACGATAATCACACTGAAATGATATTTGAAGATTGGTTAAAAGTTGAAAAATAAAAATATCCAAATTTGAATAGTTTTTTAAGTGAAATAATGATTTACACTTGCCCCTTCCTATACGAGTCTTTTAATTTGTTCTCTCCATGATTTAAATTCACGACTTTTTAGTTATTTAAAAAGTAATATTGATAAGAACTCACCTTTCACTAAGGTTTTGAATCGTTTGATTGAAAATAAGTTATTTTCTATTATAATATGAGCAACAATAATAATGGGATTGCTTAGTGAAATACTTGATGGATGAATATTTGATTCATTTCATTAAAAATGAAATATTATATAAAATATGTAATCTTTAAATAAAATGAGGTCCGAACGAGAAATAGAGATTTTTTTATTTTTTCGTATTTGTTACCATGGACTTTGGGTGATATGTTCGTCCGGTGGTTTTCTGGCTGAATTTTTTTGTAGGCATCCGTAACGACCTATTAAATGGCGTGCATTGGTTCAGAGGGGGCAAACGTCAATATTTTCAAGTTCAAACGAGATTCAAAACGGAAAATAGAGAGTTTTCCATTTTTCGTGTGTAGTCCATGAATTTTGGGTGACATGTGTGCCCGACAACTCTTTGACCGAAATCTTTTACGAGCGTTCGTAATGACCTATTAAATAACGTGCATTGGTTCGGAAGGGCAAACGTCAATATTCTCAAGTCAAACTAGAATAAAATATATTAAAAATTATATAAATAAAATTACAAATTTATGATAAAAATCCTTTTCCTTTTCCAAAATGTCTCTTGGGTTGAACTTGAGAGAAGTTGGGAATTGGAACCAAACAGTCTTTAATGGCGGGAAAAGGAATCCCTAATATCTCCATTATTTACTCTTAAATGCTAAGCATAAACATCTCAAGCTTCTTCAAAGTTCCTTACAGACCCAACAATTTTAGCCCTAGATTTGTTCTACTATTTGTTTCTTCAATGGCGTCTTCAACAAAAGTCACAGTTGAGTACGCGAAATCCGGTCGATCGTCATGTAAGAAATGCGACGAGAAGATTCCGGCGAAATCCGTAAGGCTGGGATTAGTGTCAAAACATCCTCAAGGCTTTGACCAGACAAAATGGCATCATCTCGATTGTTTCCCTTTCAGTTCTGATTTCGTTTCCTCTGTGGAAGACATCACTGGATTCTCATTGCTTCAGGTATACATTTCTAGAACTTGGACTAAATTTAAACACCTTTTTGCAATTTGCATGTGGAGTATTTACTGAATTATTTAGAGTGACGAGTCAAAAACACAAGTCCCCAGTTTTTTGAGTTTAATACGAACTTAACTATCAAGTGTGTGAGTTTTCTAGCTGAACTATCACCAATTATTTATCAAAATACACCTTAACTATCAATGGTTCCTATTTCCTACCTTAACTTGGTGATATTTTAGGCAGTAAAAGGGAACAACTTATATTTTGAGGTGTGTTTTGATAAATAGTTGGTTATAGTTCACGTAGTACCCACAAATAATTTAGGTATGAAACTTGAAAAACCTCGACACTTTAGGTGTATTTTTTATCTTTATTTTCCAATATGCATTTTATGCCGTTTGTTTGATTGTCCATTAGTGTGAAAAAAAGTATCTTCTTTTAGTTGTATCTATAGGTGAGCATGTCATAAATTGTCTTCCGCTAGAGCTACGTATATGAACTTTTGTTAAATATATACCTGCAGTCCTGCACTAAGTCAATTTTGTTATCAAATAGTTGTAGGTGCATGCGATTGTATTTGACACCACCTGATTTGGAGCAGCTTTATTTCATTATAGAGTCTTTTTGCCATCTTGATAAACTATACTTTATTCTCGGTGTTTTATTTGATAACTAAAAGGTTTCTCTTTTAGTTGATAATATTCTTCGTTGCAGCTAAGCTTGTCTTTCTGATTTATGCAGAACAAAGATAAAGAAACATTGGAGAAATTGATTAACACCGAGATTGCAACTTTGCAGAAGGTGCTGTCTTCTTTAGTGTTTAAATTCTTTAGGCATTTGTAATGCAAGTATAAAGTGCTTATTATGGTAGCATAGTAGCTGCTTACTTTTTTAATACCTCAAAGTAGCAGCTTACTGTTTTCAAAAATATATAGGCTGAAATTGACTCCACTTAGAATTTCCCTCTATTTGAAACTCAAGACATGAGTTTGACCAAGTCGTGCTGCTTCAAATCCTTTTCTAGTTTTCTTTAATTGAGAAATGTTTCAAGTTATATTGTCATCGAGTTGAGTTGCCAAATTTTTCACCTGTTGCTTTTACTTCCTGAAGTTTGAAGCTTTGCTGGACTTATTTTATTCCTGAGTTTGTACTATTATGTAAATTTTAAAGTTGAGGTACCCTGTCGAACAAGTCAGTTTGTTGGAACTTCACTTGTGCTGACAATGAAGCGATTAATTTACAGGTTTCCGATGCAAACTCAGATAAGATTGACAGAAAACAAAAGGAAACTTGTGCACAGGTAACATTAAGTGATAGTGGAGCTGTTTTTTCTGCTATTGACTTATTTATTCTCACTGATTTCCTGCATCTGGCTTGTAAACATATGAGAAGGGAGATTCAGAGCACGAACTGAGCAAGCAAAAGCGACTAAAGGTTAATATTGCAGTTCCCAGTTGAAGTTTCCAGTAGATTTGTTTTTATGAGTAAAAGGAAACTAGAAGCCAGAACTTGAATTTATTTTGTATCCAGTTGCATTACTTTGATTTAGTCTTATTTGAGTATAGGTAATTATCTGTTGTTTAGTCTTATTTGTTCATCAGTGTTTATTAGTACTATCTGTTGCCATATTTGCGTTGTATCCTGTTAATTTTTTCTGTCTGATTTTCTTATAATCGTGCTTCTAACTCTTCTTTTCTTTTAGCCGAGGTTCTGTCAGAAGCAGTCTCTCTACCCCATAAAGGTAGGGGTAAGGTCTGCATACATCCTACCTTCCCTAGACTTCACTTGTGGGATTGAACTAGGAATGTTGTTGTTGTAGAGTATAGGTAATGATATTGAGTACAGCTAGTGGGTATCAAGTTCACTATGTAGTGTTCGTATATGAGAATGTGCATAACCGGTTAAGTACTCTCTTATGGTAAGCTTATTTGGTACTATCATTTGTCAAAATTGTCCTCCGATCAATGTAGCATATTTGAGTAATAGAATTATGGAGAATTTTAATTGCAGCACATGAATGCATTTCTTATATGCTGTTCCACTATTGACTTTTTGTTTCTTCCTTGGTTTCTTCAGGCCCTCTGTCCCTTATAACTAATCAAACTCCATTGAAACATTAAGCATCTTTTTGTTTCTTCCTTGGTTTCTTCAGGCCCTCTGTCCCTTAACTAATCAAACTCCATTGAAACATTAAGCATATTATGTTGATTCCAAAAAGCATCATGCACCTAAATGTTTTTTTATTTGTTTGATAAAGTGCACCTAGATGTTATTGTAGTGCTGCCTTCTTTCCGTAGATATCCTAGAGCCAACTATAGAAGCAATTGGTCATGTATAACGATTTTTTAACTTATACACTTCTTAGAAGCTTGTGGACTGTTGTAGAGCAGTGACCAGGAATTGAGATGTCAAATGTTTTCACCAATCTTATGTACTCTTTATTTCTGTGGATTTTTAGTGAATCAAAAGCATCATTCTCTATGGCATGTCAACAGGTTTATGGTAAATACGGGAGAATAATCAGGAGACATTTATATTCTTCGGTCTTTCTGCACTATGTTTGCACTTGTCAGGCAAACATTAACATGCATGTACAAATCATCTAGCCAGTCCAGAATGCAAATATTGTTTTTGGTGCTCTGCATGTTTACAACTAAAATTGTCTTTGGTCATACAAAGGAGAGATGGTTGTCATCTTCCCTTACAAGGCCGGGGTAGCCTTCAGGATTTACCTGATCGGAACAGTTGTCTCTGCTTTTCATTTTCGGTATTCCGCACTGAAGTTGGCAATAGGATAAACTTGAACCACCGATAAACTTTGAATAGATCTTGAAATGTGAGATGACTTCGTTGATTAGTCTGCACAATTCCGTTAAGCAGTATGTTCCCATGTTCTTGTAGCATCTCTTTATGTTTGTCTCCTTTTCATTTTAGTTGAACTGACTCTCTAAGCATGTCTTGCATGACAAAACACTTTTAGCTGTCGGCCACTGAAGAGGAACCTGTGTTGGAGATGGCCTTCTCTATTTCTGATGTGAGGGACACTTATAAGGTACGATATCTGGCATATGTCAAAATCAGTAATCCCCTGTCCCCACATCCTAGAGCAGCAAAAATTGAATGGAAATGTTAGAATCGGAAAACTTTAGTTTGTAACCCTTTATTATTTTTCTTCATAGGATGGCATTTTAACGGCAATGTTTTAACAAATAGCTGCTTTCTGATTTAGCTATTAGCTAATTAACTGACCCCCTTGCCGCCTCATTTTGACGATATGAAAATGAATGGTCTTTTTAGCTTCTGTGCTACCTGTTATTTTTTACTGCAGTTTTATATTTGTAAAAAAGAAGGGCCACTGATCAGATTTGGCACTTTGTTTTAATGGAGCGTTATTTATTTTCTCAGGATGCTATATTATTACCAAAGTGGAGGGCATTTCAGACGATTATATATCTTGAACAGGTTAGTCTTATTGAGATTATGCTTGATAAATTATTTGACAAAAATGTTGACACTCAAGTTGTGTGGGGTTTTCCATTGAGTACATGAAGATAGCATTTTGCTGTGGTGGTAGTGGTCCAGGGTGTTGTTGAGTAGGTATTCAAGATATTCACTCTGTAGGATGCTAGTATGTAGGTGTACTCTTCTTTGCCCAACATCTCACAGCTGCAATTTCTCTCTCATCATTCTCACTCTACATTTATAAGTTTTCCTTCTCCAATTTTATGTGACATCTTTTTGACATATTGTTCAACCTTTTCATTGTTTGAACTTTTATTTAAACCACAACTTTGGTCAATGAATCAATGATGATATAATAATCCATTCATACTTCTTTTGATTATACTTCTAGTCTAACTTGTATGACCTCTAATGGGATGGAATAGTATCAGATACAGAGCCAGACACATGGCGTGGAGGCTTGTATTCTAGCACTGGTTTGGCATGTGATCAAAAGATCTCGCTTTTCACCTTTATGTGCTTTTGGGTTTTTAGGACGATGGGCTTCATGCTTCAAGTAAAATTGCTGCCTTTGATTTTGATGGTTGTCTTGCAAATACAAATGTGAGAAGGTATGGTTTCTTCCTTCGTTTCATATTTATCTAAAACTCTTCTTGAGATGAGAGTGTGTTTATGATAATTATTGCAACTGTCAACTTTAAATAATGTGTGAGTGGAACTTAAACCAACTCTAGAATGTATGAGAACACGGGATTTAATAGAAAAGAATTGTCATGTTTTTAATAAGTCTAAACAGGTATTACTTGTTCCAAAGTAGTGGCTTTGTACGATGATGAATATTATATTAAGCATTTAAGACATACATCCAACTATCTGTACATACAAATATTCTTACCCCAAAATAACCCAAAAAAAAGAGCACTTAATTCTCCGCGAGGACTTTTCAGTTCCTTCATGATTCTTCTAGTTTTTCCTCTTTAAGTCTCCCAGAATATACATGTAGGCATGAAGGCACTACTTCCTTGATTCAATCTCTCTTCATGGTGTTGCTTTTCTCCAAGTTGTTGAGTTCTCATTCACCGTATTTGGAAGCACTCAAGTAATCAAAATACAAATAAATAGAACTCTATAAAGTAAGCAAATCACAATGTAAAAAAGTTATTTGTGTTTCCCTCCATTTTTTGGCCTACCCTTCCTTACTTAAGTTGTAGCTATGAGAGTGCATGTCAACTTGTGACTTTGTGTGAAAAAACTGATTTCTTTGAACCTTGGTTTTCTATATGATTTATATGAGAACCTTTTCCTTGTAGCCATATCATTTTGCCATCTTCCACCCAAAATCTCATAACTATAGATTTTAGCAAGGAATTCCTCCATGTCTTCCATTTCCGTTTTTAAACTGTTAGGTGTATTTTTTTTTTTTAAAAGGGACTCTGAGATGTACTTATTTCTTCTGTAGTTCTATTGACACCAAATACACAGCTCTTTGTTTACATAACTTATTAGTGTCTTGGTGACTTTGTCAAAAAGAAAAGTACTCTGTGTCTGGTGAATACTACATTTTAACATTCTTTCTCTATTTATTAGTTTTTAGGATAGACTATGTATACCAATGTCATAAATATTCTGGAATTAGATAAGTATTTTAAATATTCTGGAATTAGATTAGTGTTTTTAAAATCAAACTTCTCTTTTTGATATGACGGAGTTCCATTTTTCTCAGAGTTGGTGCAGATGCTTGGTCTCTGATGCATCCTTCAATCCCGGAGAAGCTGCAGAGCTTGTACAATGATGGCTATAAGCTGGTGGACATCCTTTTTGTAGTGTCTAAATAGCATGTTTAATTCTTATGCTGCAGTATATTAAGTCACTAGGTGGATTTGAAGTATGTTTGACAAATTCGTCACATTATTTGCAAATCAGCCATCTTATTTTTATTAATACGTGCAGGTAATTTTTACTAATGAATCCAACATTGAGCGCTGGAAGAAAAGTAGGCAGGCAGCTGTGGACTCGAAAATTGGACGACTTGAACAATTCATCAAAGTTGCTGGCGTACCAATTCAGGTGATTGGATCTGTAGAGTGTGCATCAACATTTTGGATCTAGCCAGTATTTTTCTTTGACGTAATGAAGGTTAATTCACTTATAGGATAATGGGGTAAAAGGAAGTCTCTCTCTCATTAATCTCTTTTTGACTTTTATTTGTTGTTGGTTCAGTCGTGGTTTCTGGGTGTAGTGGCGGAGCCAGGATTTTTAATAAGGGGGTTCAAAATCTAAGAAGTAAACACACGAACTAGTGCAAGGGGGTTCGACATATATTATACATATCTAAAAGAATAATTTTAACCATGTATAAATAGTAATATTTTCCGCCGAAGGGGGCTCGGATGAACCTCCTAAGTATATGCTGCCTCCGCCCTTGTCTGGATGGGGTGGCAGGTTCCGTCATAAGTGATGAAAATAGCAGAGAGAAAAATCTACTAGAATTCTCTGTAAATAGTTCTCATAGCTCTATTGATGCAGGTTTTCATCGCTTGTGGCTTGAGTAAGATCAAGCCAGAAGATCCCTTTCGCAAGCCTAAGACTGGGATGTGGAATATTATGAAAAAGCAGTTCAATTCTGGAGTTCCCATAGACATGGACCAGTTATTTCCTCTTCCTTGGTCAATAGCCCAATTTTAAATATTTTACTTCCTAATCGTTGACTAATCTAATAGAGCTTTCTTTCGTCATTCTAGGTCTTTCTATGTTGGTGATGCTGCTGGCAGACAAGGTGACCATAGTGATGCTGATATTAGATTTGCACAGGTACCTAATTCTGCTGACATTAGATAATAGTAATTTTTTTACATGCTTGTTTTCAACTTTTGTATCACATCCCTACTTGACTCAGACTGACTGCTCTGCTGATATGCATGTACTTGTGTATGCTATAAGAGACGGATTTAAACTTAGGGTTCAATCACATTTGAAATTATGAGTTCAAAGTTTCATATTTGTTGACATTTTAGTGATTTTTACATGTACATCTATGTCATGAATGGCTTCAATTGAATTTCTCAGCTGCACAGTTGATTTTTTTTCTTTCTAGTAGTAAAAATGCTATTCTGCTTCCCCCTTTTAAGATGGCACACCTCCAATGCATGCAAATAACACTGTATAATACGGGGTTCCATTGTTATTTTGTTGCAGGCGATTGGTCTAAGATTTTATGTTCCAGAGGAATTCTTTGAGAAGGAAACTTGACAATGACAATGAGAATTGGGCATTTTGTTTCGTGTAACATCTACTACAGTAGAAAGTAACTGTCTGAGCTAAAGTAGAAGGAACATGCGTACAACTCTTTCCCTGCAAAGGGGTTGACATTTGTGTAAATAGTTCTTCCGTTATCTACCTTGGATTCTTATTTAAATTTATCTTCCATTTTATCGCCTTTTTCATCCTTTTGCTGAGATTTCTGCAAATCCATAACTCAGTCCTTTTTGCTTTGGAGACGGATCAAAATTTGCATGAAACCATTTATTCTTCAAAATTATGAAGTGATGCATTGACTGGAAATTGTTGGTCAGTTTTCAGTTGTGAATTTGCAGACTTATTGTTACAATTTGTAGAGTTTGTTCTATGATGACACATGATTAAGATCAATATTCCGATCAAAACTTGGTATTAATACATAGCAATATGTTCTTGGTGGATTGCAGAGTCTGCTTTTTCCCTCAACTGAAATTATACAAGAAAATAACTTAGCTCTTATGATAATACATTGTTTCTGCAGTATTACTAGCAGTGTAGCACAATGAATCTTTGTATCTAGTCCTACCCAATTGCAAAAGCTGGTAACTGTTTCATTTCTTCTTACCGATCTCGCCTTCTAGTATAGCATGTCTGGTTAAAACAATTTCCTTTACCAGATTCTTGTAAGTGAATGGCCTGACTGCAGCTCTCATGAACAATTCAGGAGGCATTTTACCTTTCTTAAGTTTTCTTCTCCAAGGACCAAATCCATGACTCTCCCACTCCTTTGGGCTAATTTTGGCTCTAACACCTCTCATGGCCAATTCATCTCCACCATCTTCCTTTGCTTCTTGTTCCTTGTCTTCCATTGCATTTATATGCTTTTCATAAAACTTTGTTGATGTCTCCATATATTTCTTGGCAAACTTTTCCATTGCTTCGTTGCTACCCAATGCCTTCTTAAATTCATCTTCCCAGAATCTTGTGTCCTCTTCCTGACTTGAATCGTCATCCTCATTGATACCCAGCTCATCATCATCATCTCCACTTGCATCCAAATCCACATCGTACTCATCTTCATTGTCATCGTCATCTTCACCATACTCCTCATCCTCAATCCAGTCCACTATCTCGGTCTCTCCCTTGTTATTTCTGCCATAATCATCATCATCCGGTGCATCACAACCCATCTCCATTTCCTCCAACTTCACCTTCCACTCCTTTGTATAAGGATGCAACAAAGGCACAGGGTGATTGTCTAACAAGAACCCCAAACACTTGGACTTCTTCTCATCACTCAATTTCTCATAAGCCTTTACTACATCATCCACAAATGCCTTGGGATTCACTCTCACAATCTTACACAACCCACCAAAATAAGTACAGAATTCCACCCTTCCGTTATCATCCTCCAACTCAAACAAACAATCCTGTTCAGTTTCTGGATCAAGCAAAGGCGTTAACGCCTTAAAAAAGTCATCTTGAGGCTCAAACCTACACTGATATACAGGCCTCTGTACATATACAATATCAGGTCTCATCCATGCTGCACATTGTGTGATCAATGACCTTGCTTTATTCCCGAGCCGCCCCATCAAATTCCATTTATCCAACCTCTGATTCCCAGCTTCAACAACGACCTCGGACACCAAAGTCCATTGTTGCCAAGGAAAATCCGATATCCTCCACTTAGGATGCCTAACAAATACCCAAAAGTATCGAAAACCAACATTTTTATCCATTGCATCCAATCTATTCTGAAATTCCTGAGCCATTTCATGTTGCTCAATCTTCTCCCACTCTTCTTGGTCCCTAACCTCACCAATCATCGATACACATGGGTCCGAGAATCGCCCTCGAATAGGCTCCCCTAAAACAACTCCTCGCCAAGAATACGGCCCAAACTGACCATATTTATACCAATCATACGGGTGTTTGAGATTCGGGTCATCTCTTTCCATGAACCTAACCATTCTATCATACCCCAAACCAATCATTTGCAGCTCTTCCTCGGAGAAATTATCCGGGTAGTTTCCATGAGGATTCTTCAACCTGTAGAAAAGACTCTCAGCTAATTTCTTACTTTTTCGGCGGGCATTTCGTTTAGCTTGTCGCCGGAACTCGCCGCTTCCCTCAATGCGGCCGGGTGATGTTCCACCGGATTTTCCTTTGCTTCGGCCGGCAAATGACCGGATATCCCTCCGGTGACTGTCATTTTGCCGGGAAATTGCGATTTCCCGGTTCTGGGCTTGAATATAGAGAGGCTTCGGAGTTCTATAGGTAGATGGAATTGAGGGCAGTGTTCTGCGAAGAGGGTTGAAGAATTGGGCGAGAGATGGTAATTGAAGAGTTGTGAAGGTAGGGTTTAGGGTTTTAGCTACAGACAAGTTCTGATTCTGCATTTTTTCTACAATTTTTTCACAGCAATTGGGGAGAAGGAATGAGCTGTGTTGCTTTATAGGATAAAGGTGTATTTACAGAACAGCTAAACAACTGAAAAAGGAAGAAACCTATGTGACATGCTCGACTTAGAAGATATTGAGGGGAATTAATCTCGATTCATTCGTGTGAATGACCACCCTCCAATCAACTGAGCCATCTGAAAGACAATTATTGTTTTTTTTGTGAGTTATATGCTTCAATTATTACTTTCTTTGGATTAAAACATATTTCAATGATAAGTTGACTTATACTCATTTGTTATGGATTGAGAACAAATATTAAGCCAATTTAGCATCATGATATATTTTAACGGAAAAGGGTCAAAATTACCTCTGAACTATGCGAAATAGATCACATATACCCTTCGTTACATTTTGGGATCAAAAATACCCCGTCGTTATTTCAAGAGACCCCAAATACCCTCAAGAGTTATCACCCTAAATTTGTAATGATGTAGCAAGCCACATGGAACTACTTCCTCCACCTAAGCTGCCAACTAGGATTTCCACTAACCCATCATCTTCCCAAATCATATTAAATTCCCCTTCCCTCCATTATTGATTGTTGACTTCTAAAATCTACAATGTTCTACCCTTTCCATGTGAGACCTTTCTTTTTTCTTTCATGAATTCAATTAGTGATAGTTTAATATTACACCTCTAAAACCAAAACAAGTTAGCAATAACCTGATTAGTAATACCCTATTCATCTTGTCCCAATGACAGAAACAAAGCAGTGTTTTATCTTCATTTCCCATCATGAAGTAGTGTATATGACCACAAAGAAGAGTAACAATCTTCAAAACTAAAAACCTGATCAACAAATAAATTTAATGAAAATCCATTGCTTGAAAACTAAACTAAAAAACTCATTGCTTGAAACTTTAATGGAAAAAAATTATTTTTTCTCTGAAAACTAGGGTTTGATTTGGGAGGATGAATTGATGGTTAGCAAGAATAGGTTAGTGGGAATCCTAGTTGGCAGCTTAGGTGGAGAGAGTAGCTCCATGTGGCTTGCCACATCATTAAAAAATTGGGGTGTTAACTCTTGAGGGTATTTGTGGTCTCTTAGGATAACGGTGGGAGTATTTTTTATCCCAAAATGTAACGGAGAGTATAAGTGATCTATTTCACATAGTTCAGGGGCAATTTTGATCCTTTTCCAATATTTTAATACAAAAGGAGTTTTCCTATAGAAATTATCACCCCTTTCGCACTTTATTCGTACTTAGAGTGGGGTGGGGGAAATGAAATTTTCTTCTTTATTTCACAAATGGATATGCTAGATCATATACCTATATACGGATAGATAAATCGATCGGGATTCACACTTGAGATCTTCTACAGATAGTGAGGGTATCCACCCCTATAGCCATGTTCTATTCGCTAGGTATTTGACCAAAATCGTCCATTCCTATAGAACCTATCACTAGAATACCCCTAGAGGAGGGTAAGGCTAAGCGAAGCGAAAAGGGTTTTCCATAAATGGGAAATGAAAATTATTTTCCCCACACGAAGTTTGTGAATAAGTGATTGTTTGATAATGAGCAAGGAATATCCGTCTTTGTGCTAAACATGATGGATTGAACTCATAATTCATTAGATGTTTTTTTTTAAAAAATAATTAGATTGTCCCTTTTTTTTGTCACGCCCCGAGCCTACACCCTGGGCGGGACTGGCACTCGGAGACTATTTCTGGCCCCAAGCGAACCCTTGGCCTGACTTACTTAACTCAGCGGAAGACTTAGCTCAATGAAACAGTCTCAAATAATAACTAAAAAATAATAAGTTGGCCAAAATGGCACTTAGGTCTTAAACAACATCTGAAGGATAAAGAAAGACATCTGAACTAGTAACTATCTGACTGTCTATGAAGCCTCTAAAATACTGAGATGGATGTTGGGACAAACCCCACAACATCCTAATAAATGAAAGACTGAAAGCGAATAAAAAAGTCCTCCGAAATGCAATGAGGCTCACCATTGACTCTGAGTTGCTCAACTGAATTAACAAGGTGCTAGGTGCTGATCCTGATTACCTGCGTCTGCATCATAATAAAATGTAGGCCAACTGGTATCAGTACATTGAATGTAAGAGTATGCGAGTTGGAATGCTAAACCACACATAGGCTAGAAGGAATCTGAAAGAAACTGAATAACTTACCTGGCTCAACTCAACTCAACCTGATTGACTCATTTCAATATAAAGCAATTTAAAGCAAGTGCAATATAAAGAAAAGTTGTTTAAAGCATACTATAAACTCTGTGTGTATGCAAAGATACAATAAATCTGAGATGTATGTAGAAATACAAATGAACTGATGTATATAAAAATACAATAACTGTTGTGGGAGTTTAGCTCTTATGTTTTAAAAACATACTTCTTCTGTGATTTGAGATTAGTGCTCAAAAACTTAGCTCAAAGGCTATCTTGGAAATCTCAGTTTCCCTGCTTGCTTCATTTAGAAAGCTATTACTCTTTTCTGAAAACTAGCCCGAATGCTCTTTGGAAATCTCAGTTTCCATTCTTATTTAAATGTAAAAACATTTTAAATCTCTTTGGGAATACTTAGTCCCCATATACTTTTGAAGAAATGAACTTCAAACTTTACTCTTTACTCTTTACTCAACTTGAACTCTAAGTCTTAAAACAAAGTTAAAACATTTGGAAACCTCTAAGAACTCATCTTGACTTGACTCTTACTTCTCTTGACTTTGATCTTAACTTTCATTGAATTGGATTATGGATTCAAGGTTCATGATCTCATGTTTATGGATGATTTCATGATGTTTAGATGTATTTTAGAATGTTAGAATCGACTAGGAAATATAGGTACATCACTTAGAAACACGTACGAGAAGGTAGGGAACGATTGGGGAGAGCTGGTGTCCATGGCGCTTTGAGAGGCGTGGGGAGCCAGGCCCCAAACCTCAGAGAGCTGGGTGGGGCGCTCTGGCTGGGGCGACGCACCAGAGGCCAAACCTCAGAGAACATTTTGGGGCGCGCTGAGAGGTGTGACGCCCCAACCCCTGTACCCAGGTGTTCTCGACTTTTCTCCTCCGTTTTTCATCTCTAAACCCTCCAAACTTCCATGGTACTTTCCCCAAACCCCTAGGATCAATTGTACCTTCAATATACAACCAATCTAACTCGCAAAACAACCCGGAAACATGAATCAATTCACCCCCCCCCCCCCCCCCCCCCAAGCATCAACAATTCAACCAACAAGAATTCTACAATTTGTTCTTCAAGAACCTCACTTTTCAACATGTAAACAACTCCAAACCAAAGGATTGAAACAAGTTGGTATGTGGGTGAACTAACCCAACACAGAAAGATCTCACATACCTTACGAATTCCACTCGCAATCTTGAATGATCTTGCCTTCTTCTCCCGTTCTTTCTTTCTTTCTTTCTTTCTTTCTTTCTCTCTTCTCCAAGCCCTAAGCGTATTCTAACTTTTCAAAATTGAATTAAGTTCTGTTTTTACCCCTATAAATCCCTAAAAACGAATTAGGAAATTAATTAGAGAAAAGACTACTTTGCCCTTCCTTAAATCCGGATTGAAACTTTCCTCGATTCAATAGCCCAACTTCCGGAAGGCATATCTCACTCATACGATGTCGAAATTTCATAAACTCAGCGGCGTTGGAAAGATATCTCTAAGGGTTTTCCAACCATATCAATAATTGCTCCTAACTCATCCAGAGCTAGGAGTTATGGCCATTTGAAAATGGTCAAAACTCACTTTCTTAACTTAGACAAAATTTCCAGATTTTCTTATTCTTTCCAAAAATCATTATTTTCAGATTTTAAACTCTTTCTAGTCGTTTCTAGGTGCGAGATGTTACATTTTTTTTTTAGTTTGTACATAAAAACTATATCATCTCCTAATTAATTAATTAATATTTTCTTTTTATGTGTAAATAAAAAACACAACAAATTTGTTTGAGATGAAGGAAATACTATTCTAGATAAAACAATATTTAGATTAGCTCCTAAAATAAAATTATATATATATATATATATATATATATATATATATATATTCTGAAATTCTTAACTATATTATATGTAAAATTCACTTTAAAAGTTTAAGGAATTGAACATGGTACAAGCAAAGTATATAAATAATAAAATACAAAAGAAATATCAGAATAATATAACAGAGTAGGACCCTGGATTTGACAAATTTCCGATGATCTGACTCTAATCTTCTCCATCTGACCTGTAATGGCCCGACGAAACCATACGACGGAGCTCGGATGCATAGCCTGCGACGATTTGTCGGAGCTCGGCGCCGGCAAAGAAGGTTGGCTTGTAAACAACCCTAATCTCCTAACTGCTCTCGACACTCATTCAATTGCATTAGCCAACCGCTCGCTTGTACTCATTCTGCATTGGTCCGAAGGATCCGACCCGGTAGGAAACCGGGTGAAGATTGTACCTGATCTCTCTCCGATCGAGGCTGAGTATATATCTGCGATCGAGTGGTTAGTGTTTGATGATATCAAAGTTTTAGCTTTGGGCACTTCTCGTGGGTATTTGTTGATTTATTCTCTCCGTGGTGATCTGATTCATAAACAGGTATTCGTCTTTTCTGTTCATAGTTTGCAAATGCAGTGGAATTAGTAAATGTAGTTGTGAATTTGATTTTTATGTGAAGAAGCTATAAGAGGGGGGAAATTGGGGTTAGGTAACCTAGGGAGTTGTAGGAATTGATGAAGCTGTGGAATTCACCTTCAGAAAGAATTTTAGTGAAGTTGCGAATGTGCTTGGATTATATTAGGCATTAGTATTTGTCACTGGATCACGCTACTCTTAGTTTTGCTATTTAAAAGTTTTATGCTTTCTCATTTGTCATTTATGATAAATTTGTCCTTGAGCTGAGGGTATATCGGGAACAACCTCTTTATCTCCCACAACCCACTTGTGTAAGATTGTCCTACCTGCTACCCTTCCTATATTCCACTTGTGGAATTGCACTAGATATGTTGTTGTTTGTTTGTTTTTAGTGTTATTCTCAAAGAAAACGAAAGAGTTTGTTTATGATGGTCATTATGTACTTTTTTCTTTTAGTTTGACATCTTAACTGATTATGCTATGTAGTAAAACTAGATATTTTGGAACCTATAAGCCTTTGGTTTGAGATTTTATTTTGTTTTATTTAGCGGTGCCATATGATAATTAGCGAACTTACCAGAACTTTTGTGTGGCAGATAGTAAGCCCTGGAAAGATTCTTAGATTGAGAGTCCGTGATACCAAGAGAGATCTAACCCAAGATGCATCATCAGAAGAGGTCTGTGTTGTTATGTCAGGTGTTATTGCTCGATTTGATGGATCAGACATTCAGGTATTCGAATATTCTCGCGGTTACAAGTAATGTTATTTTTTCTAAATCAACTATGATATGAGGACATTTATTTTAAAAATTTTACATCTCCATTTTGATGTCGAACCATGAAGTTTAGGTTCTCATATGCCATACCGCTAATGTCCGTATTAAAATGCAGAATATGCTTCAGAGGTGGTTTAGAGAAAGACACTCTCAGTTCTGGGATGAGAGAGAATCTGAAAATTCTACAGATACTTTTGGGAGGCTTCCATACCAGCTATGGAATGTTAGTAAATATGGTTCCTGTGTTGATGCTGCTATCACTGGTCTGATGCCCCCTCCTCTGCTGGAGCTACAGGTAATATTTTAATCTCTCATTGTATCATATTGCAGTACTTTCTTCTCTTCCTTTTAAACAAGGCATACTTTTCTACTGGGATTTGTTGTTTCCTCAACCCCCTAAACCTTCTCCTATAGTGCACACACCAAAATGAATTTTTAGTGCTCTAGTGAAATGCTATTTTTCGCCCTATGACTTCCGGAAATTTTCTGAAGTTATTCTGGTATTTGAATTCAGCTGCTTTTATTGTTGGGCAGTCAAGTCAGCGTTATTATTGTGCAATCACTGTTGGAGCTGATGCTGTGATTTCTGCTTATCGGTTAGTCTGCAGTATATTATATTATGATTCTTTTTCAAGTTCATTTTAATTTTTTTAACTAAAGTTTCTGTCTGCATTCCCATTTCTTGCTTTATTTTACTAAATTGGATTTCTCTTTACACTTTCAAGACTTTCTGTAGACCGAAGCAGATCAATAGTAGGGGCTATTCTCTCCAAGGTTGTGCCTGCAACTTTTTCAACAATAACTTCAATCTCAAAAATGTTATGGAGAAGTGATCCATCTCCTACAAAAAGACCAGAACCAATGCCTCAGCCTTTTGCTCGAGGTATATGGTATTTTTTTCATCGTTGAAAGAATTTCTTATTCAGTTCTCTCTATTTTAATTTAATAACTAGAGGTTGATCACATATCACTCCTTTTACATGTCAAAATGCTCATTTTTTAGCCCTTCCAAGCATCATTCCATCCTTCCTTTGCTTATTTGAACTTCCATCTAGAGATCATGACTGAAAGAAGTGTTCTTTTCTACAAGTTTATCTTTGAGTTGGAAAGTAGTTTGCAATATGGCCAAGAAGTATAGGTTGATTGGTTCTTTGGTTTATTGCATATATATTCACATAAAGTACTGATACGAGATAACCTATGAATAAATTATCAAGTGCTTAGAAAAAATTTAAATATTCTAGCTTTAATTTATTACTTTCAATTCTTTGTCTAAACACATTTACTTATATATGTCATATATACTTTATTGGTTGTGTTATTAAGGCATGTACCCATATTCCAATCTGTATCCCTGCATCCTAAGATTTAGGTGATGACAAATCTGACTTCTAGATCTGTACTCGACGACTAGTGTTGGGTGCCCACACTGGCTTCCGAGAGTCTATTACAAGTAGGTAGAGACAACCTTCGTGTCACTTGGTTGAAAAAAAAGGTTACTATGTTTTATTGCCTTTTGTTAATGACAAGCTCCTTTTTCAAGAAAACTCAATTACTTCTCTCCATTATCTTTCTGGACTTCGCTTGGAGAAAACATAGTCAATATTGGACCGGACCATGGTAATTTGTTTATGTTTGCTCTGGTCTTTGGGTAACATACTTTCCAATGTTGTGCTGACTGTTAGTCAGTAAACTGAACCTGGTAAAGTTGATGCTGGAGTTACTAGATTAGTGGAAAAACTCAAATAATGACCCTGCCATGTTACTTTCCCATTGAAGTTGTATGTTTGGATTGTGAAGTGGAGAATGCTGAAGTTATCTTTCGCTGATTTTTCTTTTGCTCCTTAAATTTTCAGTTGAAGTCTAATTCTCAGTATTTCATCTAACAATATAAAGTTTAGCTGTATTTTTCCATGTTTTACATAGTTGTACTTCAGACTTCATCGTATACTCTCTGAGTATCTAATTGGATTTCAATTTAGCTGACAAAATGTCATTGTAAATTATCTATTTCTGGCAGCTTCTCCTTTGACTTGCTTTAAGGATCATCCTAGAAAGGGGGAGAAGCTCACATTATCACCTAGTGGTACTTTGGCTGCAATAACTGATTCTCTGGGTCGTATCTTACTCTTAGACACTCAGGCCCTTGTGGTGGTCCGTTTGTGGAAGGTTTGTTCTATTCACCTATTAATCATTACTTGTTTGGTTTATCCAAATTATTTATCGTTATATAAGTGATCATTAGATGGTGAATAAATATACTTGTGCACATTCAGTAGAAATGTAGAATAATGTTTGATTATTACTTCAGTGAATTGATTTTTCATATAAGAACTGAATGTCAATATGGACTGGAAACTTGAGTTTTCAAATGATTTTGAGTAGTTCAGATGAAATAATCGAAAGCAAACAAGCCCCAACTATCTACTTAGGTTCATCACCTGATAAAATGAACATATTGGTTTGCAGGGTTATCGTGATGCAAGTTGCCTCTTTGTTGAGATGCTTGCTAAGAAAGACATTGAAACGTCTAGATCTGCTTACCATGAACACGTGAAAAGTGATTATTGCCTCTGTCTAGCAATTCATGCACCACGTAAAGGGATTGTTGAGGTAGTTTGCTGCACTCTCTGCTGTATCATCTTTCTCATTCATTTCACCTCCATTTTTAATTATGCGCTTCAGACTTCATTCATAGTAACTTAATACAGCCAAAACTACCATCCTTTTGCTTAATAATTATTAGCGAAAACAACAAATACATAGCTGTGCCATTTGTTGATTGCTCGTGAAAACTATATCTGATGAAAATTGTTCGAGTAAACTTTAGGTTAATTATATATCAGAAGATGCATCGGAGATTATACTTGTTTTGACACTTGAGTTTATCATTGCAGATATGGCAGATGAGGACTGGTCCGCGTCTTCTAACTATTCCATGTGCCAAAGGTAGCAAGATTTTGCAGCCTACATACAGATTCGCCTCATCAGAAGTGTCTGTGTCTTCTTATGTACCTTTGGAACTTTTCTTTTTGAATGGAGACTCCGGTCTGCTCTTCGTCTTGAATCGATCTCTTAGTTGACATTATATATTAAATTCAAAATAATACAAGAAATTGCAGGTAAAGGCCTTGGAGCTGCCTGTACAGAATGTAAATTTCATTTGTTTTGTAGCTTTTTTAACAACACCCCAAACTTCCAAAGGAAAAAAAGGAGGTAAAACGTCCCATAGTTATTATTGTAATGTTATCATATTTTTTTAATTTAAATTTGCCTAACTAATAGAATCTAACCTTTCATGTGATGTTATTTGGTTCACATTAACTATCTATCTGTTAGATTTAATTATTTATCCTACGCCCATTTGTATAATTGCAGATAAATTTGAAATACATTAAACTTGATATCAAACTATATTAGATGAACATTAAGGATAATAAGACTAACATACAGCTGTTAAAATAATTTTGTGCTCTATTAAACATGTTTCAAGTCTGCAACTGACAATGACTCATCATTTCATGCTAGTTTTTGTCATACTAGAATGAAGCTGTCATCATTTTGGTGAATTTCCAAGCAATCCTAACAAACGAGGCAAACTAGGAAAACAATTGAACCTTCATAGGACATTGTTTCCTCCTCCCAATTCCTAGGGGTAGATCTAGATCTGATCATGTGAATTCAATAACTTTTATTTAGATTCTGTATGTGACATAGAAATTCATCATAAACTTCAAATCTTGGATCCACTCTAAGGAGTAGCAATTGACAAAACTACACATTCTCTTGCATACCATTAATGGCTGTCTCTTTCTTCTTCTTCTTCTTCTTCATTTGTTTCTCAATACTCCTACCCCTCTTTTCCACAGCAACAATCCACAAAACAGTTCTAATCAGACCAAATTTCACCACTCAACAAGACATTTCTCCCAAGAATGACACCCCCACAACCTATTTTGAAGTCACAAATCCTATAAAATTACCCAAAACCAAATCTTGTTCCTACTTAGTCCTCAAACATGACTTTGCCTATACATATGGGAAACCACCAATCCTCACAAATTACACACCCCCTTCAAATTGCCCATCAAAAAAGTTCTCCAAAATCATTCTTGAATGGAAAGCAACAAGTAAAGGAAGACAATTTGATAGAATTTTTGGGATTTGGCTTAGTGGGGTTGAAATTTTCAGGAGTTGTACTGCAGATCCAAGGCCAAATGGAGTTATTTGGACTGTGAAGAAGGATATTACTAGGTATTCTTCTTTGCTTATGACTAATCAAACTCTTGTTGTTTATATTGGGAACATTGTTGATAGTAAATATACTGGGGTTTATCATGTAGAAATTTTTGTTCATTTTTATCCTACTGAAAAAGTGAGAAACCCCTTTAAGGGATTTGATTCTGGGGCTGATTTAATCGTACCCATATCGCGTAATTTGCCGTTGAATGATGGTTTGTGGTTTGAGATTGAGAATTCTACAGATGTACAGTCAAAAGAGTTCAAAATCCCACAAAATGTATACAGGGCTGTATTGGAAATTTATGTGTCATTTCATGAGAATGATGAGTTCTGGTATGGAAATTTGCCAAATGATTATATTACTGGGAATAATCGTAGTGATATCGCGGGAAATGGTGCTTTTAGAGAGGTGATAGTAAGTTTGGATGATGTTGTAGTTGGTGCAGTTTGGCCTTTTACTGTGATTTATACTGGTGGTATCAATCCTCTGTTGTGGAGACCTATAAGTGGAATTGGCTCATTTGATCTTCCTTCATATGATATTGAAATTACGCCGTTGTTAGGGAAGATCTTAGATGGAAGTTCTCATAATATTTCGTTTAGTGTTACAAATGCTTTGAATGTATGGTATGTTGATGCAAATTTGCACCTTTGGTTGGATAAAAAGAGTGTAAAAACAGAAGGGAAGTTGTTGGAGTATAGTAGTTTGCCCCTTTCATTTTCTCTCACGAGTAATTTTACTGGTCTTGATGGTTCCTTTGTGACAAATGCTCGTAGATCGATCTCAATGACTGGATGGGTAAAATCATCTTATGGAACAGTCACAACGAGATCATTTCAAAGTTTGAGCTATAGTAACTATATGGTGATGGGAAATGACGCGAACTTGCAAGTTGTTGATCAGACTATTGAGTTTAATGACACTGTTTATGCTAAGACGCGGTCTTTTTCTGTTCAGGTTCTTGAATCCTTGAAAAAGTTTCAGCTTCACATGTACTCTGATGGACTTGAGATAGGAGATAAAAGCTATGCTGCTATCTCGAATGTGACTTTGATAGTCGATGAGAAGAGGTTGAAGTATGGATCCTCAGCCAGCTCTGTTCACAATCTGCAGAACGCGCAGGGCTATATGCTTGTAAAGGACCAGTCGCTAGACAGTGGACTTGGGAGCACACAACAGATATACAAATACAACGACGTTAAAGGCTGCTACTTCAGGAACATAAGCAGCTCAAATCACACGGTGCTTTATGACAAGGTGATCAATAGTTGTAGCAAATTGATCAATACTGTATCATAGCTTCTAAGTATCATGCAAATGCAGTGACCTTTTCATGTTCCTGAGAGTAGAGGCAGATTCAGAATTTGAAGTTTACTGGTAACTATAGCTATATCGAGTTAATACATAATAATATTTGGGTTCACAATCAAATATTAATAGATATTGTGTGAATTCTTAGATAGAAATACAGGGTTCAGGCAAAAACTACTGAGTTGACCTGAATCCGTAGCTTTAAGTCTACATCTGCCCTTGCCTGAGAGTTCGCGAAGACATAAACATGTGAATAAACTAGCGCGGTTTGTACCATTCATAAAATTGTTTGTGAAAATTTTCAATTGAAGCCTTTTTTATTCCAAGTATGAAGACATAAAAAGTAGTTCTTGTGAAAATTTTGGTTGAAATTCTACAAGAATTTTAAGCAAAAGCCACCAAGATTCAACCTTAGTAATGATCTCATTTTTTTGTTGTTGTAGTACATCTACTATTACTTATGTTGCTCGTACTCCTCAAAATTGTCATCAAGTACATATTGAATCTTCTAAAAGTAACACATTTTTAAAAGATTCGACACAAAAACAGAAATATTTTAAGAGAATATAAGCAACATAGCCAACAACAGGACTAACAATTTTAGACAAATAAAAAAGTAGCAAAATAGATCATGTCAGTGACCCCAACTACCACTATGTTTTATATAATATAAAATATAGTACTATATAATATAATATAAAATAAAATAAAAAAGACAAAATTCTCCCAGATGTTTATTCCATTAATTTGGCCCAGCATGTCTCATTGCTAATCTCCAATTAATCCTTTTTATGTTTATAAGCCACCTTTGATTCTGGTTGACCAAATCAAATAAACAAAGATCTCCAAATCTAATATTGCTCCCTCTAAATTACCTTTTCATATATTTTAGTCATTACAGCATTTGTGTAACATCCACCATCATGCTAAACGCTTAATATTGGGTGCGAATAAATTTTTTTCCAACTATCATGATGAGAAAAACATTAGTTTGATCTTAGATGAATAAAAATCGGGAGAAATGCGCGAATTAAATCTAAATAACTTAGTTGGAACTTGGGATATAGGGACTCCGTCAAACTCTATGACTTTTCCACGAAGTTTGAGTTTATTTTTATAAGTTCAACCTTTAAGATTTTATTAAATTTCATGACATAGTCATGAACATTTTGATTTTTTATAAGTTTGAATTTTAGGACAATGTGAATTAAATTTCAACAGATTAAAAGTATTACAAGGGCAAAGATAAAGCGTACAACAAGACATTATTATTTTCTATTTATGGATATGATTATGACTATATGAAATTTGTCTAATGGAAAAATCTCTTTATGGACTGGGCCTAACTACACATAATAATTGCTACTACTACTAATTAATGACTTATCATAGCGTAAGTCTATTTCATGTAGACTCTAATAAAATGCTTAATTCATCAATTAATTATTGTGACAACCTGAAATTAATGGTATTGTTGAGAGTGAATTAAATTGGTGAAAATCATGTCTTCGCCATTGACAATGGTGGATATAGTATTCATAGATTGTATTCATCCAGTATTTTTAATGTAGAACATAAATTTTATACATAAAAAATTCTTAAAATTATAATAAATAATAGATCTGAATTCATAATTTTGAAAGATAGCGAATTCATTACTAAAATTTTGGAAATCAAATCCATTAGGATTAAATCTTGGATTGTGGCTGCCTACTAATTCCTATTGTTCCTAAATTCAAGTAGAAGATCAAAGTTAACTAATCAGTAGAAGCTGTCTAAATTTTAGGGTTTCTAACCGGATGAAAGGGAAATGTCTTGTGATTCTTGGTTAATTGTCCGTTTGAATTGACTTAAAAAAAAGTAGCTTTTAAGTCAAAAATAAAAAGTCAAACTGAAATGACTTTTAAGTCAAAAAATAAAAAGTAGGGGGAGACCTACTTTTGGTTTCTGACTTATTTTAAGTTGGTTTTTACTTTGCCAAACACTTCATAACTCATTCTAAGTCATTTTTGACTTATTTCAAGTTATTTTTTTTATATTTGTCATACACTTTCAGAAGTCAAAAACTGACTTAAAAGTAGGTTTGACCGACTTTTAAGCCAATTCAAACGGGCTCTAAGAGCGGATGGGGCAGGAAAAAAGAGCCCTCAAACCCAATATACAATAACAATAAATCTCATAAATAGAGTTCGAAAAAATTAAAGTGACGTGTACCAACCTTAACTTATTCCTATCTTCTGAAGATATATATGTTATTATGGATAGACCTTCAACTCAAGCGTTAATTATTCAATGAATATATATCCAAGCAATCATAGAGAAATCAGCATAATTAATTGGAATTAATGTTATATTTTATTTGACATCTTCACATTATAATGAAGCTAAGTCAATTAATTCTCATAATAATATATAAATCTCCCAGAAGCAAATTGAAGTAACCTTCTTATTATAAAAGAAATAAATTTTACCATTTATTTTTTTTCCCTCTTGTGAAAATCAAGAAGAATTTACCTCATTGTTATTACTAGAATTAATTTGAATTTTCCTCTTTTTTTTCTTCTTCTTATAAGGAATTCCCCTTGCTTTAGCTTGAGAATCTCTTACCTCACGTAGATGAATTCTTATAGCACTATTAGCAAATGGATTAGTCTCTTGTAATCCTCCATTTTCCTCATAAGCAGCTCTAAGCCTTCCAATTAGTGCATCTAAACTTCCCCACGCTTGTTTAAGTGGACATGTACATGGTCCAACTTGTTCAACTTGTCCAAAAAATACACATCCATTTAAATGTACCTTAGTTTTTCCGAATTGATCTAGGTATCGAAGAAAATCTAACACGTGGTTGTAGTTACACTGAGGTAAAGGAACCGGGGGTTTGTGATTCTTCAAGTATTGACCAAAAGTATTCCAATCACGACGTTTCTGAGACTCGTAACGGCTCAGCTGAGGAGGTGGTGATAGCTGATGATGATGGTGGTGGTCATCGGATTGTGCTAGAGTAATTGCAGTTGTTGATGATGATCCTTCTCCCTCTCCTCCTGCTTCCCTTCTTTGCTCACTTGATGACATCATAGCTTGAAAGTTCTCAAGAAGGGGTTTTCTGTCCGGCAATCTTGATTTTTTTCGAACTGCGTGTTTCTGAACCTGAAGTTGTAACCAAAGGAATAATTATTTGTAACACTACCAAGACTATTTTTTAAAATTAAAAAAAGAAAAAGAAAAAGTAAACATAAATTGGGTGGAGAATTTGTGAGGGATATATTTGTTTTGTGTTTTAATGAATTGTTTTGGCTTAGAGAAGGAAAAATTATATAGAGATGAGTAGGATTGCAATGGAAAAAAGATAAAATTAAAACAAATAATTGGGGTAGTTGATAAGACATGAGATGGGGTCCAAGGGGAAGTGCTTTAGCTCCTCTTTTTCTTCCATCACCATATTGTTTTCTTCCTTTAATTGTACTATTAGCAATAGTATATGGCCTTTAATGATAATTAACTTTTTTTTTATAATTGTATTAGCATCATCCTAGCACTCATTATCAAGAATATTAGCAAAATTAGCACTTTAATTTGACTCTTAGCTACTAAGGGTAGCTAGCTAGTGTGAACACAGTAAATTAACAACTTGTGTATGTATAGTCAAGAAGTAAAAATTACCAATTAATCCTAGAATTTTGTCTAGTAAAAAAGGAGTTAGAGTAATTACTACCATTGTTTAATTAATTAGGTGGTGAAGAAACTTGTATTTCTCCTAACTATATAGAATTTTATATCATAAACACATACTTATAATTCATTTTAATGATAATATGCTTACATTGTAAGAAATTAAATCACAGTCATAATAGAGATTAAGACACCATTATACATGTACAAAATCATAATATTTTGAGTACTTAGGATTAATGAAGGGTACCGTTCACCTCTATTAATACAATATAAGCAATTGACGGTTAATTAAGTGTGATGCACCTGGCGTAGCCAGAATTAGGAGTTTGGAGGCAATATTAGTGTGAAAAGCATTTTTACCGCTCTTTCTTACCACTGAGCTGTGAATCAATTTTGTTAAAGGGTTCACAAGTTAATATACATATATATATATTTGTTTAATTTTCTACATGGTCTATGAAAAAGCTAGTGGATTTGTCCGAACGCACAAACCCCATCTAGCTCCGCCTCTGCTAAATGTTATCACGTATTCAAGAACAAAATACTCTATGGTTTTCTCTAGCTAAAAAATACTTTAATTTTTATGATATGATAATATATTACTGTGTAATCAATCGTAATTTGCTAGTGCACCCGTGGGAACAATGGGAATGAAGAAGGAAAAAAAAGGTCAAAATTATATCCTCCACACCATTTTATGGGAGACATGCATTTGATTTGATTTAATTTAACACAGTTTTCTTTTAAAAAGGTTTTTGAAATATATGGTAAAAACATATGTCACAAAATCGTGTCATCAAAGTAATATGAAAAATAAAAAACCTTAAAAGTTAAATTATTTTAAATTATAAATTTTATATATATATATATATATATATTTTAACTTGCTTGCTAACTTTGTGGATCAAAGCATTGTAAAATAACTATTTTCTTCTCGGTTATAAATCTTCCTTCTAAGGTTATATATACGTCGTTAAAGAATAATGTACATAGTTGGCAAGCCTAACATTAAAATTTGAGTGAAGAATTAAGGACAACTTTATTTTTGATCATATCAGACTCTTTTAGGCTTTTTATATAACTAGAAGTTCTTTATTTTAGAACTTCCTTTTGTAAGCTTAATTTCTCATCCCTAATATTTGTAATACATAGGTCACACAAAACCTCACTTTATTCTCCTTTAACCTATTTGTGAAATCTAACAACTTTAATAAATTAAAAATAATACAAAGTGCAAAGTATATTTATACAATCTATATGACTTTTTTTTAATTCGGAGATTCCAACATATTTGCCATCATTTCAATAATAATACTGCCTTATATAGCTTCATAATATTATTTTTCTTTAAAAAATAATCTAATTCATTTAATGCATATTATATTTTAAGATGTAGTATAGAGTAATATTTTATCTATCAAACAAATAATTTGAAGTGCTAGGAGTAACATGTAGTTATAGCTAAGAAGAATAAACTTAATTAAGTCCAATATATCCTATCTAGAAGGCAATACATAAAGCAAAAACCCTAGTAGCTAGGTAACATTAACATATATTTGTTTTTTTAAAAAAGCAAATACATTCAACATTTGGTTTTTAATTTAACCTTCACTAATCAGATGAAAGTTCAGATAATGAACCAACTGATCGAGTTATGTAATAAATTTATATTTTTATCTATCAAACAAATTTGAAGTGCTAGGGCCTAGGAGTAACATGTAGTTATTATTATATGAATAAAATTGATTATAAGTCCAATATTTGACTTGATTTTATCTAGATGGCAATATATATATATATGGCAAAAACCCTAGTAGCTAGGTAATAACATATATAAATGGAACTACTATATGAAAAGACTTTCCCATTAGACAGATGAAAATCTGTTGGACCATGAAGATCATTATTTTCTAATATGTTAGAAAAAGACAACCATGAAAGTTGTATTTGATTTGAAAAATATATAGTGATGGCTTGGCTGCTTCAAATATTTTAATATTTAATAATTTAATAAACAATGGGCTCCTTCTAGCTAATATCTTTTTGATTGGCTCCTATGGATTTGCCTTCCAATATGGGTAATGGGAGAAAAAAAAAGTAAAGTATTATAAAGTGGAAATATAATTACTATTTGATTATGGAAAAAATTTACACACTCAATATTTATACTAAACTAAAAAAACTAATGAAGATGTGAGATATATGTGTTCACGTGAATTCAATAATTTTTATTCGTATTCCATCTTTAGTATATATTAGTTTGAGATCGTTGTAAAAAATCAATCAAATCTAAGCAAGACATTCTACGCACACAATAATAACTTATATTCTTAACCATGCATGCATGATTAAGTGATATGTATTCTCACTATAATTTTTAGTTATTAAAATTAAATTGTTTGGTATAATATAAACACCGAACACAAATTAGTAGTATATCATTTTACTATTGTTATAATCAGTATCAACTGATCACCATATATTATCTGGGATTTTATCTTGTTGACTCTCAAGATTTTGCTTACATGAAAAAAAATATGCTTAATCAATTAACTACTAATTAATCAACTTTCCATATAGTTGCTTGTTACAGCTGTGACACTAATAATATTTCCTAACAACACAAATATATAATTAATAGCAAAGACAATAGTAGCGTCACTAATTAATTAACATCATAATACTGTTGATAATGGTTTAATCATATTATTATCCAAGTGTACTCTACTGTCTTAGTGATGTTTTTGTTTTTGCTCCTTGGCTTCCCTTTCCATTTCTTTAATTTATCTCCATATTTTTGTTTGAGATAAAAAAATCGGATTTCAAGATTTAGGTGAATTTATTAAAAAGTGATATGTGGTAAGAAAAATAGGTTATAAGTAAAATATTTTTTTCTTTATTTTACTTTTTTCCCCTTCATTTTAGGTATCAGTTATTCGAGATTTATTATCTCGATTAATTCAGAATCGCATAAAATAAATTTATTAAAGCAACTAAATTGCACTCCCTATGATCAATCGAATGATCTCAACTATTTCATCACATTTGATCTTAATGGTATTTTGCTTCCTTGAGATTCTTTTGTAACTTGTACAAAAGTCTAAAATATATATACGTTTTTTTAAAAAATAATTAATATTGTCCTCGTGTCATGTTTCCTTATTTCAAGCTAACTTTGTCAACATGAGTGCTAATTTGGTTCATGTAGTTATGATATACCTATCAACTAATATCATATCATTTTACTTAAAATGACTCCAATTTTCACATGGAGTAGTTAAACAAGCCAACTAATGGACTGTAGTTTGAATTAGTAATCATTAATATATGAGTTTAAATTATACGCGTCTTCTTGATTAAAAACTCTTTTTATTATCAAGTTACTTTTGTCAATCTTTTTAATTTTTATATTCGTATTTCAACAAGATTTACTTATAAATATATATTTTTTACTTAACTTAAGAATGTAGGGAAAATAAAAATTACAGTGATAATTATGTAATATATTATTTACCTTTTTTTGCACTAGATTATTCGTGTAATCTTTGAACTTATCCTAATCAAGCTTTCAGTTGGAAATTAATTCCTAATTATAAACAGCAAGATTTATTCCACTAAACGCATTTGGACCATGGGGGAATAAATAATTAGCTTAATATATAAAGCTTATGCTTAATTTTCCAACTACCAGCTAATCAATTAGTTTATAATATTCAATTCTCTTATTGGTTGAAAAAAACTTTGTAAGAGAATTCAAACATACAATAATGGTAGTAATTATACACCATGTTCTTTTTTTTTTTTCTCATTCCTTTATATGATGTGTGTGTATGAGAACTCCTGAATAGGAGCTATATCATATTCTTCTGATGTACTGATTTATATGAGTTGGTTTGACTTGACACAAAATTTAATAAAGAAAGATTTTTGAAATTTGTGGTCTAAAATAAGTCATAGATATTTGTGTGACTAGGAATCATTTCATCAAGGGTAAAATTGATATTTTGAAGTTAAATCGTTATCAAATATAGAAATATGTCATTTTATTTGGGACTGACTAAAAAAGAAAATAAGTTATATAAAGTGAGACAGAGGAAATAGTATTTATGTAGTGTTCACGCATCATTAGGACATCTTATTGAACTTTAATTTCATGTGTGTTCGAACTGTGAAATTATAGTCATTGATGTTTGTGTCATGATCAGGTGAGTTGTCTATTTCACATTCTCTTAGAGTTTGACATTTGTTTGGATCCTATATATAAAATTTAAACACAAAATGCATCAAACTACTTTTCAAGTGAAAAATCTTTGTGCATCGCAAGAAAATAATATTTTCGTAATATAATTAAATCTTACGGAATAAAATCCACCTATTAGGTCGATGGACAATTACGAAGAACAAACAATGGTTTCATTTGCAATTCATACATACCATAGTCCATAGGTATATCACAAAAAGTGATGGTTAAATAGGAAGTGACCCCTTATAATCATTTCAAAGTATCAGCTGCATCCTCCTTGATAGGGGTATTTGAATTTGACTAGATATGTCCACTTTAGTAATTGTTTTTCTTTTTAGAGTTTTCACTCGATATTCAATTTGGAGCTCAATTAATGTAGATTCACACCTAAAAATCTCATTTTATAAGATACAGTGTTCTATACTTTGATGGTTCTATTTCCATGCATTCCACTTATTAAACATGGTTCTATGACCCTTGGATGCCAAAGGCGTCCTTGGGGACGTGATCTCATAGTGCTACATGTAGAGATTCTAGAGTCTATCTATGAATTTTTCTTTTTCCGCCTTTCGTTCAAAGGGTTGAAGGGAGATAGTGTATCAAGTTGTTCGTAAGGGTCAACTTGATCTTCTTCCCTACAAATCTCAGATGAGGGAACTCTAGGAGATCCGCCGATTCCAACTACCACTATATATATGATTCATACTAGATCTAATCAATTGTCTATCGTACCTCCTCTATGTTCTTGACGGTCCATTTTTGTTTTAGTAGTCTTTAAGTTGCACATTTTGGTCTTCTTTCCTATTACTTAGAAAAATAGAGTCACCGGTTCAAATACAAGATAGTATCATGATTATTGCTTGGACAATTAGGCATCCAATGCAACCCGTAATCGCAACAACCCAATTGCAAGAGTGAAGCTCAACCAACTGAGTTGTCTCCCCCGAGCAAACTGGAGCATGAAACATCGCGGTGTATCGATATTCCCTAGTGTTGAACTTGAGCTTTGTTCTACTATCTTCTTTTTTAGTTTTATTTTAGGATAAATGGGTTGGTTTAAAATTATTCTACAATTTATCTCAAAATTATTATCCTTTATCTCTCGTATCAGATGAACCCTACAGTTCAATAATACTACTCTACCCTACACTAGTTAAGACCATGGCTCACAATTAAATCACATCAATATTCATGCTACTTATCTTCTTTTTAATTCTCATTTTTCCTTTTATATGGGTCCACCATCTCAAATGTTTTTACTAAAATTAGTGCAAAAACGTGCTTAGATTCCTAATGTCTGATGAAAATTTCTTCTCAAACGACACAACTTGTGGAGCATATGAATCTCATCTTAGTTTTTTTGGTTCTCATATATGTGGTCATGTCGAAATATTTTTTTCATATATTTATAGAATTGGTGTAAATATCATATATGAAGGAACAAGAAAGTAGTAATGATCAGACTAAGATTTATTTTTTTACCCCTCCCTAGGAGCTTCCTTTTGCTCCCTTGATGACTCGAACTCGCAACCTTCGAATTGGAAGTAAGGGGTGTTTACCATCCAAGCAACACCCTTTCGTCGATCAGACTAAGATTCGATTTAATATTAAAGTGAAATTTTAGCCATTTAATTAGTTATCCTCAAAAATATAAATTTAAATTTGAAAAGAAAATATATTTATTAATGGGCAAATTACAGAATCACATACTTTTAAGGCAATATTACAATCTATCCCTTAAAAGTTTTTAATTACAGAAATCCCTCAAACGGATACAATAATATAAGCGCTGATACATTAATCTGATGCGCGAGATACATTACGTTAAGTAAGATACATTACATTTTATACATGATACACTAATCTGATGTACATTTTATACATGATACACTAATCTGGTGCGCGAGATACAATAATATAAGCGCTGATACATTAATCTGATGAGCGAGATACACTAATCTGATGCGCGAAAATAAGAGATTTTGAAAATTTGTAAAACTTATAGGGGATAATGGTAATAAGTAAACTAAAATGTGGGATTTCTGTAATTTTTCCTTTCTTAATTTTAGTTACACAGCCCAAGTCTTTTTGCCATCTCGATTAATTGAGTGTTTCATTGTGGGCTTCAACTCCCTCTGTTTAGCCTTCCATTTGTTTGGACTATGGCCCAAGCCCAACCAAGTTTTAAGGAGAATGAAGTCCAAGAACAGAATCTTTACGCAAACTAATCGGATTCACAATTTATTTTTTCTAATCGATATACATAATTTATACGCAATCATATGTATATTCTATATTGGTCGACTATTTTTAATTTAAGAAATTGAACGAACAGCTATTTCGATTAATTCTTCTTTTTATTTAAGAATTTGCGTTTAATAAACAACAAAGTATTACGCCTTTCATTTTTTTATTGTTTTTAAAAACCATGTTAATTTGAATATGTCTATTTGACATAGCATCTCGAATAGTAGAAAACATAATTAAAGACACCCTTCACATTTGTCATAGCATCTTAAATAGTAGAAAACATAATTAAAGACACCCTTCACATTTGTCATAGCATCTTAAATAGTAGAAAACATAATTAAATACATCCTTTAACAGAAATGAAAAATAGAAATCATAATAATAAAATACACCCTTCAACAAAAAAAAAAAGGAAAATAATAGCTGTGGACCCACTCATTTTCTCCACTTATTTTACTGGAAATAAAATCCTTATCTTATAAAGTTAACGTTTTTAATATTTTTATTTTTATTTTTAAAAAAAAACATTTTCTCAAAGCATTTGGTAAGTTACCTTCCAACGGAATTCATCTGCTTCTTCATCTCTAACAAAAGTGTAGGCCTTTAGATTTCCATCAATTTCAAGTCTAAGATATGTCAATGTTGTGTTGTATTTAGTAAATGCCATCACATGTGAACTTCTCTTTGTTGATTTAGCCAATCTATAATCCAATTTCAATCTTTGATTTCCACTATTCAATTTTACTGATTCCAACGTACTGTTTTCAAAATCGAACCAAGCTAATTCCACGCCTAACTTAGTCCTATTGTAGATAGCAAACAATTTTGGCTGCACCACCAAGCTATAAGGCCCGTTCGCATTCTTTTTCACGGAGGTCCGGCTCGCGAGCTTATTCGGGCCGGACAATCGGAGAGTTTGGCCCACTAGTAATGTGTCAGTGGGATAGTTGAAACTCTGCCAGACGAATTTACCCTTAGAGTCATGTAGCACCATGTTACCATTAGGTAACAACTTGAACCCTGTCACCCCCTTATTGGCCGTGTTGGTCTGCCAAGCGATTCGACCGTCATCGTCAGCCAATACGAGATTTCCGTTAGTTCCAAACGTGAGGGTCGCGTTTTCTTTAACGGGGTTTCCTCGATTTGCTTCCCACACCCAACGCATGAGTGATTCAGAACGGACAGTGCCCATTCGCAACGCTAGTGTCCATGCGTTAGGAGTTGTGTTGTAGAAACAGAGCTGGAATGGATTATTGAAAATACTAAGAACGCGATAATCTGCCTGATATTCTACAACATAAGGTCCTAATTCACCTTCATTGACGAATTTGAAGGTGTTTTCAGGTGGAACTTGCGCAATGCAAGAAAATATTTGGGAGAAAAGAAATAGAGAGGCAAGAAGTGTAGTAGGCCATGAATTAGGAGACATGTTTAGTTTATTGTTTTAGCTTGTTTGATATGGTACATTTGCTTCTTGAGAATGGTATTTATAGATGCATGAGGAAGAATAATTAATTAGTTTTATATATTGTATTATTGTTTGATTCATAATATTTGCATGACTGGATATTGATAAACTATTTGGATATAATAATACATTAATAGTATGGGTCAAAATTTCAAAGGTAGACAAATTCAAAACCGGTCAATGTTGATGTGCTGTCCGTACATTGTGTATTGGATGAGCATAATTATTAGCATACTATAAAAATAATTGCATTTGAAATGTGAAACTATTATAGACAGAAACAATGATCCCTCTGATTTAAAAGAAGATTATGGAGAAATTAGTTATGCATAAATTATACTATAATAATAATATATTTAGTGAAATCTCACGAAGTATATTCAGAAAAAAAATAGAATGTACGTAAATTTTAATTATCACTATCTCATAGAGACAGAGAAGTTGTTTTTGAAATTGCATAATTTATACTTACTAGTACATTATGGTTAAATGGGAGTATGTATTTTACTTTTAATTTTTAGTTATAAAGTTGAATTATTAGATTTGATATAAATATTGATGTGAATAAGCAATTAAAATTGAGGCAAAAATTTATACGGACTTAATATTTACAGCAAACTAATAACGTTAAACACTTACCGATCATACTTGCAATTATCACTTAATTAAGATTACGTGTTGTGTATTTTCACATTAATTTTAAACGGCTAAAATTAAACTAATACGTAATTTTTTACCAAAATTATACTATCTTATGCTTAAACCAAACGGCCTTTTGGTCTGCAAGAATTGCGGTGGATGACTGAGAATTCTTCATCTTTAAGCATATGTCTAAGATTTAAGCTTTTGGAATGAAAAAAATATCGTATTAAAAGTGACACTTTCATAGATGAACTTTGTTATACGAATCTAAATTCAGTTAAATTCAAATATAAATATCGAACACTAAATAAAAAAGATCGAGACTATTTGAAACTGTTGAGGCGGCTGGATAATATAATTAAAGTTGCATAATCATACCCCCCACAGAAATCAATCATTTTGTCAAAAACAGGAAATTTAATTTACTTTAAAATTATAACTTTGTTTTATTGCAAAGTGATAATCGCCAACACGAACACGACTATATAACATCAAAGGCAAATTCTGGCTTAAATGCTACAACAACAGGTTACATTATCTGTACCAATACTACTTTTTAAGGTTCATTTTAATAAAGTTTAGATTTTATATAATCTACTTATATCAAAAAACAAGAATATCTAGAAATTACTCTCTTCGTTTTAATTCGTTCGTCTTGTTTTGACTTGACATGAAATTTAAGAAAGTAAAGAACAATTTGAATCTTGTGATCTTTTTCTAAAAATATGTTAAGTGTACTAAAATTTCATTTAATCTTATGGTCTCTGAAACATGCAACGTGAAAAGCTGAAATTAAATTTTTTTATCAAAAAATAGATATTCTTTAAAATGTATTAAAAATAAAAGTAGAACAAATAAATCGAAACAAAAAGTATATATATAGTCACTATTACTTCCAAATAAATTTCTCCATTATAATGACAAATGATATTTATTTGACTCTTGTAGAAGTAAAATGTTTATGGATCCAGCTCATCCTTGAACTTGTCCAGTAGAGACAACACGCACCAGGCCATGGCACATGGGTGACAGGGCTATAATAATTTTCTGATGCTTTATAGTGGCTGCGTTGATCCATTTCAATTATCGTGCTTACTAGAAAATAGGTAATTTAAAGTAGTTAGTGTAACTTTTAAAAGTTAAAATATACTCCTATATACTAATAAAAAATTGTTTATTTCTGCCTTTATCTAATTCAATAAATATAAAGATTCAAATAAGTTTTTTTTTATTACAATTTTTCATATATTTTTAAAATATTTTAAATTATTAATTACTATAATTTATAAAATTTCTTACGTAATTTCCAATTTAAAGATTTCATATCCAAAAAGTAAACTATTCGGACTCTCAAAATTCTGACTGTATCCATTAATTGAGACAAAAAAAGTACTCTAATTTTTAATCTTGAATATGTGGCTAAATAAGACAATATTGGAGTCAAAAAAATTTAAAATCATCCGTTTTCACAAGATTATTTCCTATAATTTTCTGAGTTAAATTGACCTCAAAGGGCCCATAACTCATAAAGATATTAAAGTAATGACAAATGTTTAGTGTCTTATGGCAAGATTTAAAGTATGTACATAGATTTTCTTGTTTCCTATCCTAGAAACTTGAATTTATTAGGAATAAGCATATGGTAACCACGTAACTTGTCATTTGAAAAGATGGGGAACAGTAATTTGATTTTGGTAAGCAGACTCAGCACGATATTAGAATTGAAATATTGATAAAATTATATCAAACGTATCAAAATATCATTAAATCTTGTAATTTCAAATATGTCACGTGGAAAGATGAAATTAACGTATTGCTAAAAAAAGAAAAGGAGTCACGAATATTTTTTAATTAGATTAAAAAGAAAAGTAGGTCACTTTTTTAAAGAGAAAAAGTAAATTCTATACAACAATAAGTTTCTTTTTGTGATAGTAGGTTATAGTTATGCATCAATTATTTTTATCGAAAATTGACACCATACCAATGAAGTACAATAGTTTTAAATATATATGAACTGTTGAATTTTTTTTAACATTAAATTTATGATAAAGGATATTAAAAAATGCTTTAAAACATAGTTTAAATTATAACTGTGATATTCTTGATTTTTTTGAAAATTCTAGATAAATTTGTGATTTTGCCACCGATTATAATTAGTAAAGTCCATGTCTTATAGCATTTTGTGGTAGAGAATTGAGTTTAGATGTCATCATGCCCACGCACTAATGTTATAATCAATCATGCTAATTAACTTTGGAATATCAGATTTTAATAATTAAAATAAAGAATTCAATACTAGAAAAAGCAAGGTGGAATTGTCCTTGTCATGGGCATCCAGTAGTTCTTGGTTTAAGATAAAATTAGTATTTATTTTTCTATTAACTTTGTTTTTAAAAACTACAAATATTTTAATTATGGAATATATAATTAAATAAATATTCAATAAATAGAAATTATATCTGAAGACATAAATAAATATAAGATAGTCAAAAAACGTAATATTTTATTTAAAAGCACGTTAAAAAAGAAACACAATTGATAATTTGAGATCGAGAGAATAATTATGATTTGATTTGGTCATTCCATTGGTGCCTGTTGTTTCCCCAGCAAGGTGAGCTGGAGCCAAATATAAATTATTTATTTATTTTTTAGCTTTTCAATAGTCAAATAAAAGATTGCAAAGTCAAACAAACTCGTTATGTTTCATTTTTGCACGAAACTCTTTTTTTTTTTTTTTTTTTAAATAATATGAAACTCTTTTTATTCTGAAATAATATAAGAATATTTAATTATCATTTTATTTTTATAAGATTTCATAACTTTCAAAAATATAAAAACTTTCATTATTATTTTTTACAATTTAAAAGTTTAATGTAATGTTTGTTCTCTTTTCATCCACAATTTTATTTTATTTTTCTTCATTCTTAAAATATTAATATGTTAGTCAAACTAACATGCATATTTAATTCTGAAGCTAGTCAAACACTACACATAAAATAAAATGGTAGAAATATTTAATATTACAAACTGAGAAGGATTTGCAGTAATAGGAATTTTGTATTTTCTAGAAAATACTTTTACTATTGTAGTTTTTTTGTATTATAAATTAATTTAATATATGTACTCTATAAAATCGAGAATCAATAATGCTGCAAAAAATATAAATTTGAGGGAGATTTTAAATTTGCAATAAACAAAGTGACAAGCTGATAGTGAAAAGATTTCCTTGGTTTACGACAAAATTATGATTGTTTGTAATTACGTGCACACTGATTGACTATGTAAATTAATTTGACAAAATTGAAAATGATATATAAATAAAGGATTTTTTTTTTTTTTTGAAATAACGATCATTTGAGACCTAATTATCTAACATAGTGATAGTATAGATAATTTGAAATTCGTTCATTATTAGTGTTACAGTTGTTTTTAAAATTCGTTACATATCACTGATATAATAATAAATACAAAGTGAATTATTACATTGTTGATATAAAAGGAATTTTAAAAGATGTTATATTATTGATACAAAACAAATTTTAAAAACTAATACATTACTACTAATATAAGGAGAACGTCAAAAGCTATTGGTATGTTTGATAAATATAAAATATAAATTTGTATTATAATTCATCCAAAAAGAAATAACCAATATATATTTATATTGTCAACGGAATAATATTTTTGATTGAACGGTCAAATATAAGCCTATCGCAATCAATTTCCACCACCTCAATCCCTTTTTATCCAAAAGACACAAGTGGGCAGTGGTATTGGACCACTTTTTATCTCTCTTTATTTTGACAACTTCTTAGGGTTGTGATAAGGTAACAATTTTTTTTTTATATTTGATAGAGAGCCTTATATTTTCACATGAGACTTTTAATTTGCTCAAAATATGTATTGAACAGTGACACAATTTAAAAAAAATAAAATGAAATCTGAATACAAGATCTTGTTAGATATATGTAAATGAGAATATACCTAAATAAAATACAAAATATGTGTTTACTTCTTTAATAAAATAGAAATTTATTTACTATTAGTATGACTTATGAGAGTTAGTTTTGTTATTCTGTGGTTTTAATTCAATGTACTATGATGGTCTAAAAGACTCATATTCCCAGTTTATCAAATAATACTCTACAGAATATTTTTTAACTTATCAACATTATCTTTAGTTTTCTGTGTATCTCAAATTTGAATTAAAAGATTATATTTATTTCAATTAAATAATAATAATTAAAAAAAAAACTAATATAATTTGATATAAACATGAATCACTACATTAAAAATGATCTTTAGTGACAATTAATTAACGGCAATAGCTCAATTGCCGCTAAATATGTACTTTTAGAGGTAATTAGCACTCTTTATATATGTCCCTAAGACCTTTAGCGACATTGAATCTAATAATACTTAACTAATAACGCTGTCGGTAAAAACTTTAGCACTCTTTATTAATGTGTCTATTTATTGCCGCTAAAAAATATTTTTGTTATAGTGAGTGCTGATAAATTCTCTCTTAAATTTGAGACAATAAATGCACTATCCACATACTTCTTTCTTTTCTTTTCTTTTTTTAATTTTTATTTTCCCTTCGATATTTAATATTTATATTGAAGTCCGACTAAATTTGATTTTACGTTAAAAAAAATTATATTAAAAATAAAACACTTCTTAACATTGATAACTTTATATCTAAAGAAACTTAAATCCGAAAACAAAGTGCCATCAAAGGGAAAAATTATAACTTTAAGGCATATATATCCACTTGATTGTTTCCGCGTAGAGCACCTCAACATTGACTACCCAACTTGTGTATAATTAATTACATCTAGTCAAAATCAAATATCTTAATGATTCTGATAAACAACATATATAACTAATATAATTATCCTTCCCCATCCATCTATAAATACCAATCTCAAGAAGCAAATGTATCATATAACAAACAAGCTAAAACAACAAACTAAACATGTCTCCTTCATGGCCTACTACACTTCTTGCCTCTCTCTTTCTTTTCTCCCAAATATTTTCTTGCATTGCTCAAGTTCCAGCTGAAAACACCTTTAAATTCGTCAATGAAGGCGAATTAGGAGATTATGTTGTAGAATACAGAGCAGATTATCGCGTTATTAGTATTTCCAATAATCCGTTTCAGCTCTGTTTCTACAACACAACTCCTAATGCATGGACATTAGCATTGCGAATGGGCACTGTCCGTTCTGAATCACTCATGCGTTGGGTGTGGGAAGCAAATAGGGGAAACCCCGTTAAAGAAAACGCGACATTCACGTTTGGAACTAACGGAAATCTCGTATTGGCGGATGCTGACGGTCGAATCGCTTGGCAGACCAACACGGCCAATAAGGGGGTCACCGGGTTCAAGTTGTTACCTAATGGTAACATGGTGCTACATGACTCCAAGGGTAAATTCGTCTGGCAGAGTTTCAACTATCCCACTGATACATTACTAGTGGGCCAAACTCTCCGATTGTCCGGCCCGAATAAGCTTGTGAGCCGGGCCTCGGTGAAAAAGAATGCGAACGGGCCTTATAGCTTGGTGGTGCAGCCAAGATTGTTCGCTGTCTACAAGGGGAACAAGGTAGACGTGGAATTAGCTTGGTTCAATTATGGGAATAACACGTTGGAATCGATAAAATTGAATAGTGGGAATCAAAGATTGAAATTGGATTATAGATTTGCAAAATCAACACAGAGAAGTTCACATGTGATGGCATTTACTAAATACAACACAACATTGACATATCTTAGACTTGAAATTGATGGAAATCTAAAGGCCTATACTTTCGTTAGAGATGAAGAAGCAGATGAATTCCGTTGGAAAGTAACTTATAGTAGGATTTAAAATGTTTCAAATAACGTCTAAATCTGCGTACACATTATCCTTTACGAGCAAATTCCACGGGTTATGTTATTATTGTTGTTGTTATATTGTTGTAAAGGTAGCTCTATAAGATAATGATTACTGTGTCCAGTACAATATGTGGGCCCACAGCTACTAGTCCAATAAATGAGTAGTACTTCCTATTTAATGTTAGTTATATTTTTCTTTTTCCCTTTTTGAAAAAATATTATGTTTTGGTTGAATTAAAGTGTGTTTTTTATTTTGATATATAGTAGTAATTGTTTTTGGATTGAATTGAAGGTGGTGCCTCGTTATGTTTTCTGTTCTTATATTTATGAAAGAAGCTTTTAACAAGTGAGATCTCGATTGCCTTTGTTGATTTATTTAATCATGATAAATTGTATTAACTTGACATAAACAGAATTACTTATGTACTTTCTTTAATCATATTTATAAAATGACCCTTTGGGTCTTATTGATTAAAAAAAAAATTAAAAAAAATTGACATACACATTTCTGTGAAAATAAGTATACCTTCTGGGCTAATATTGAGAAAACATAATGTATAAACATCAATATATTACACTTAGTTCCTTTACTGTATAATTTCTGTATTAAAATTTTAGTATAAGCTATTTGCAAATCAAACAAAAAAAACTGAAGTCCATATAAAATGATAATAATCGTTTGAAAAATAAATCATTTGAAGTTGAAAGTTTTAGGTGATGCAATTTGGATATCTTATTTTGTATATTTTCTTATAAATGTGTATACTCAGTAATTTATGAAAATTATTCAAACTTTTTTTAAATTCTTATGCTATCTTATCAAATGAGTAAATTATATTCCATCCATTTATTTTTATTTGTTCATGGTTGATTTCACACACCTCGTAAAAGATAGTACTATAAAATGATACATTTGTTATATCACTTTTTTTAAGATAATAAATTACTCCATAAAATGAAGATAATAAATTGAAATTAAGAAGAGTGTAGATAGAAAGACACAAAGTAATAGTAGTATTAACTTTTCTTTATTATTGTATGTTTTTTTTTTACTTCTTCTCATCTTTTCATATTACAAGAGGAAATATATATATATATATATATATATATATATATATATAGGCTATAAAACTTGGGCACAAATTACTTGCGCACAGAGTTTACTTGGGCACGAAGTATATTGTGTGGACATCTATTTTACAACAAATTCAATATTTTGAAAGATAACTAGAATTAATAATAAAGAAAGATTAAGAACCAAGTGATAATTATTTATGAATTTTTTAAAGTAAGCAAATAAAAATGGACAGACGAAATAATTCCCAAACAAAGTATCTAAATACTTAAGGCTTCAAATTAATAAATCATATATTTCCTATTTTTGAATAATTTAAATATAAAATCATAATTTAAAATTAAATTTTATGTGAATTTTATAAATAAACATTGTTTTAAAATTAAATCTCAAAAATCAAAATTTCAAATTCTATTATCAAACTTAGAACCCAATAAACATTGTTTCAAATTCTAATTTTCAATTTCAAAATTAGACCCCATTTTGGATTGGCTAGAAGAAAAAAAATTAGATTTTAAGTCACAAAAAAAAATCAAACTTAAATGATTTTTAAATAAAAAATAAAAATTATGGAAGTCCTACTTTTTGCTTTTAATTTTTTAAAAGTAATTTTAAATTTATTTTAAGTTATTTTTAACTTTGTCAACATATACAAAAATTAAAAATGACTTAAAAATAAATTTAACCAACTTTTAAGTCAATCTAAACAGACTCCGACCTTACTTACCCTTTGCACCGACACAATACTTACAATTCAAAAATTTTATTCGTTCTGGATTAATAAAATATCTTTTTTTATAAAAAAAAAATTGTGTGCTTCTAGACTCTAGTTACTTCTGCTTTTGGATATACAATAAAATAAAATAAAATCGGATCCACTCATGTATACCATTTTAAAATGTTCTTGCTATAATTGTCCAACTTGCGCACTTCGAACAGAAAATTTTTGTTCGCCACTCATGACGACATCGTTTTTGTTGTTCACATGAACATGCTAGGTGTTTTTAAGTGCAAGAAACTATAGTGATACTTATTTTTTACTCAGAAAAAAAAAATGGAAAAAATTGAAATGATAGTAACAATATGTTGTAGTACCATAGCAATTACTTTGTTTGTGTGTCTATGGAAAGTACTGAATTGGGTTTGGTTTAATCCAAAAAAGTTGGAGAAATTGTTGAGGAAACAAGGGCTAAATGGGAATTCATACAGATTATTGTATGGGGACATGAAAGATCTTAGTGGGATGATTAAGGAAGCTAATTCAAAGCCTATGAATATGTTTGATCATGATTTAGCACCAAGAATGGTGCCTTTCTTTCTTGAAATCATCAAGAAATATGGTAAGTTTTCAAGTTGCAGTAACTGGTAAAGTTGTTGTTAGGAAATTGTAGATTCGAGCTGTGGAAACAGTTTCTTGCACAAATGTAAGAGCTTAGTGCAAACCCATAGCTAATACTGTAGCTCCGCCATTATCAAGTGACTTAGATAAGGAGTTTAATTATACAATCAGGTAAATGTAGGATAACTTGCTTACAATAGACTCTTGTAGTCCATTCCTTTCCACCTACACATAGCAAGAGCTTTAGTGGATCAGACTGCATTATACTAACTACTAATTAGTGATATAAGTAGTAGATTAAATTCATGAATTTGATATCCATTCACAAATCCCTCATTCATTTCCACAGACGGAGTTAGGATTTAAAGTTTAAGCTTTTTGAACTTGAAGCTGTACCAATAGTTCTCTTTACTGAACTTGCTAATACAAATAAGCAGTTTAGCTAGAAGCTCCTTGGAGTATGTAGTTTGTTTCAACTTTTTTCGAATTCGATGAAATTGTAATGAGCCTCTTCTCCTGGTTTGTTTATCTTCTAAAGATCACTCTGTTCATTTCGTTCTCTTCGATTGTATAGATGTTTTGTTTTGAAATTTGTACTAGTTGTAGTTAATCATGAGACATATACATGTTTGCAGGCAAAAAAAGTTTTATATGGATGGGTCCAAGGCCACAAATACTAATCATGGATCCTGAGCTTATAAAGGAAGTACTCTCGAAAACCTATGTGTATCAAAAGCCTCATGGAAATCCATTAGGCTCCTTATTTGTACAAGGATTAGTAAGCTATGAGAAAGACAAATGGGCTAAACATAGAAAAATCATCAATCCCGCATTCCATCTAGAGAAGTTAAAGGTTTGTCATTCAACTTCGTGTTGGTCAACCAGAAACTATTATGTTGTGCAGTTCTTACTCTATGTGTGCTATTGCTTCTATCTTCTTTGATTTGCCTTCCTTATCGTTCAATCTAAACTTTTATGTCATATGACTATTTCGAGTAATATGATATCTGCTACCTGACTTGATGTAGGCAATAGTGGTTCTATAGGGATGGATCTCGCCTGGATCATGATTCATTGTTCTTCAACCAATCGATAATATATGTTCGCTCTTGCTTCTTAATGTTTTCAATTTGGTCTTGTATGTTTCACATATGACTATATTGAGTGATTTCTGCTACCTAGCTTGAGTTATACAATCAGAGAGTGATTTTATGGTTCTTGTCTGGATCATCATTTGTCAGGACTCTCTTTGCATAAGTTCCTTGGCTTGGACAGAGTACGTATTTAGTCCATGTTGTATTCCTACATCCAGAGAGGACTATGTTTGGTGGAATAATTTCTTAGAAATATTTACTAGATGGTGATGGAATATGTGTTGGGTTTTATTTGCCCTGAATTTCTTACCATAAATAGGTTTTCCTTTTAGGAAAAGGTTTTGGATTGGCTAGTTCTTTTCTTGTAGGAAAAGGTTTAGAACTCTATAAATAGAGGTTTGTTCCTTCTAACTTAATCAGCATTCACAATGTAGTTTTAAGGGCTTTGAGAGTTTTGGTTAGGGGGAGAATTTGTGGGTCACAAGCTTGATACGTTATCATTTGTGTGAACCTCCCATGTATTCTGAGTGAATTGGTTGAGGTTGTTTCTCTCTATATTTTGTACTCTCATATTTATAGTGGATTGCTCATCTCCTTTGTGGACGTAGGTCGATTGACCGAACCACGTTAAATCTGTCTCTTTTGGTGTGTTTCTCGTTTGTCTTCTTACTTGTGGTCTTTCGAGGTTTGCTTTGCTAGCTTCCGCATTACACCTGCTTATTTCGGTCCTAACAATATGTGTTCCTAATTCTGCTCAAGTGTTAGTGTTATTGACATTTTCCCTTGTTCACCATTTTCTCGAACAGCATATGCTTCCAGCTTTTTACTTGAGCTGTAGTGAGATGCTGAGCAAATGGGAAGATGTTGTTCAAGTTGAAGGCTCTCATGAGATAGATGTATGGCCGCACCTGCAGCAATTGACTTGTGATGTGATCTCTCGGACAGCTTTTGGCAGTAGTTATGAAGAAGGTAGAAAGATTTTTGAACTTCAACAGGAACAAGCTCAGCATTTTCTCGAAGTTATACACTCAGTTTATATCCCAGGATGGAGGTAACTTAATTCTCCTAAGAATTTGGTAAATGTAGCTATTGGAAATGCAAATTGATTAGTTCTAATTTTTGTGAATGCATTTTGGTTTTGTGTTTCATAAAACAATTTCAAAGATTTTTGCCAACAAAGAGGAACAGAAGAATGAAGGAAATAAAAAAGGATGTTCGGTCCTCAATTAGAGGTATTATCGATAAAAGATTGAAGGCAATGGAAGCTGGGAATGCCGATAATGAGGATCTATTGGGCATATTGCTGGAATCAAATTTTAAAGAAATTGAACTGCACGGAAATAAGGACTTTGGAATGAGCATTGAAGAAGTCATTGAAGAATGCAAGCTATTCTATTTTGCTGGCGCAGAAACTACATCAGTGTGGATTCTGTGGACTCTGGTGTTGTTGAGCAGATATCCAGATTGGCAGGCACGGGCCAGAGAAGAAGTTTTGCAAGTGTTTGGGAGTCGGAAACCAGATTTTGATGGATTAAATCGTCTAAAAGTTGTAAGTATTCTTGTTGTTTGGTTCAATTTCTATGCCATGGGTACTCTCATTGTTATTTCTACAAGCACGTGTGAATTTCTTTTGATTATCTCGTTCATGCTTGCTTAACTGATAGAGGAGCATTTCTGTAACAGGTAACAATGATCTTGTACGAGTCGTTAAGGCTATATTCCCCGATAACAGTACTTACACGACGAATTTATGAAGACATTACGCTAGGAGAAGTATCTCTACCAACTGGTGTGCTAGTGTCATTGCCTATTATCTTATTGCATCATGATAAAGATATATGGGGTGAAGATGCAAACAAGTTCAATCCAGAGAGATTTAGAGAAGGAATATCAGGTGCAACAAAGGGTCAAGTTACATATTTTCCATTTTCTTGGGGTCCAAGAATATGCATTGGACAAAATTTTGCCATGTTAGAGGCAAAGATGACTTTGTGTATGATCCTACAAAGCTTCTCTTTTGAATTGTCTCCATCCTACACACATGCTCCTCAGTCCTTGGTAACCACTCAGCCTCAGTATGGTGCTCCACTTATTTTCCACAAACAATAATTTAATATTTTGTGAAGAGTTTATTCAGACTCGATTCAGGGGTGGAGTTACAATATTAAATATGGGTTCAGAAACATGTTTCTCTACCTCATAAAGATAGGGGATTATATGGTGTACTCTCCACTCTCCCTTGACCCTCATATTGGGTACGTTGTTTTTGTTGTTCGGACAAACTTAATAGTTCCGATTTAAATCTTGTATTTGTTTGAGGAAAATCCATTAAATATTCTACACATGGGAACCCGAGCTAGCAAGAGTTCAATATACGGTGTTCTCTCAATTTCAATTTATGTGACATAATTGAAATTTGGAGAAGGTTTTTAAATATTTTAGGTTGTCTACATTATTATGTTTACTGTTACACTATGGAATAATTTTTAAAATATTCACTGAATGATTTTTTCAATTATTAATTCTTGAAGTTTTGATCAAACTAGGCCATTATTTAAAGGAATTCACCAAAATAATATATTTTTCTAAAATTTTACAAAACTAGTATAAACGTCTTTCACATTAACGTTTTAGGATATACTTTATTTTTAAAAAAATCAGACTTGTGCTGACAACGTTAAGTTGAGAAACGTTACTGTGAGTAACGTTTTATAATACGTTACTTTGAGTCACGTTTTACTCCTGTTAATCACAGTAACGTTTCTTAAGAATCTAATCAAGGGCCATCGAATCCTGCAATAATTGGTGTAGCTTTTAAAAGTTAAAATATAATAAAAAATTATTTATTTCTGCCTTTATCTTATTCAATAAATATAAAGATTCAAATAATTTTTTTTATCACAATTTTTCATATAATTTTTAAATGATTAATTACTGTGACTTATAAAATTTCTTACATAATTTTCAATTTAAAGATTTCATATCCAAAAGTTAAACTATTTAACTACATGTAGTACTAAATGGAAAATTCTAAAACTATTGCACATATATATCCTATGTGTGGTTTCTAAACGGAGCCAATTTCCACATCCACTAATTAAACACAAATGGCATGATTCATGGAATACTAGTAACTATTAGAATTTTAATGCACTTTGAGCTAATGCAGGAAACAATTTTTGGAATCTGAATGATAAAATATACGCAACATATCTAGACTAGGTAGACTTCAATAGCAATGACTTATCAAAGAAAAAATGCAGACAACAACTCCAATCAATTGAAATTTATAGGTATATTAGATGTGTCCGCTCCAAACATACAATCATGTTTTAAAGATAAAACGTTACTCTCAGTAACGTTCTATAGCTATATTTACAGGATTTGATTCTTAATAAACGTTATTTTGAGTAACGTTTTAGGAGTAAAACGTGAGTCAAAGTAACATATTATAAAACGTTACTCACAGTAACGTTCAGGGGCGGCTCTATGCTTTAGAAAATAAGGCCTTTGCCTTAGGCCCCCAAATTTCGGGGCCCCCAAATTATTGTCAAGAATAAATTATGTGTTTAAACTTTTATAGAAAAAATAATTATTTATGATAAAAAAGTATAATTTTTTTTAAAATAAATTATTTTATCCACTTTAACATCTTTTGTACTTTGTTAAAAATAAAAATTAATAGTGAAAAGTGTTGAACAAAGTGAATTACAAATTCTTTTTTATTTCTTTTTAAATTTTAGTTTCAAGCATTACTATAAGCATATTAAAATGAGGTATATCAAGTCATCAACTTCTTGAGTCAACTTCTATGGTTCTAACTCTTATTTTTATTTAATATTTATCAACTTATTACTTATAGCATTATGTTAACAATACATATAAATTGTCTCACTTAAAACATGTTTTTCAATGTTGAGTTAATAAAATCATACCTAAAACTAGTAACTGAAAAAAACAATATTAAGTACTAGTAATTTTCATCTAAATAGTGTAATTTTTTTTTTTTTGAATAAATACATATATGAAGTATATTTATTATTTTAGGCCGCGAATTGAAATTTTGCTTTAGGCCCCCAATTACGTTGAGCCGCCCCTGGTAACGTTTCTCAACTTAACGCCGTCAACACACAACTAAATTTTTTAAAAATATAATATACCCTAAAACGTTACTATGGAATACGTTTATACTAGTTTTGTAAAATTTTTAAAAAACATACTATTTTGATAAATTGCTTTAAATAATGACTTAGTTTGGTCAAAAATTCATTAATTCTTTTTGAAAATAATAAGAAAATGCTCTCTTCCAAGACACAAATCATTTTTGACTTTGTCGATTTCTTTTGCCTTTTCAGAAAATAAAATAGACATATATTTTCCATACATTAGTAGATTCAAATCGAAAAAATCATACCTAAATAATTTTGATTCTCACATTAATAAACTGAAAATCAAATTGAATAAATAAAACTCGATGTCAGTCTCTACAAAAAATAGATGAGGAAAAAAAGTAAATGATTTTATTGATTGATTTTATAGACCTACTTATTATGTTTTTCTATTATTTCAAGAAAGCAAGACGTTTGAACGTAGACATCTGTTGTACATTGCTGGGATGTGTCGGAGGGTGGGGATACAATCTATGTTTTTTAGGATAAAAAGTCCTCAGATATTTGCCTTTGCTCATCAATGTCCACAAACATGGTAGATATAAATATATAGTAGTAATTTATATGCACACATAAATTTAATTCAAACAAAATGGACAAAATTCAAATATTAGTAACAATATGTTGTTGTGTCATAGCAGTTGCTCTGCTTGTGTGTCTATGGAAAGTACTAAATTGGGTTTGGTTCAGACCAAAGAAGTTGGAGAAATTGTTGAGGAAACAAGGGCTAAAAGGGAATTCATACAGAATATTGTATGGTGATATGAAAGATTTTTCTGGGATGATTAAAGAAGCTAATTCAAAGCCTATGAATATTTCTAATGATGATTTATCCCCAAGATTGGTGCCTTTCTTTCTTGAAATCATCAAGAAATATGGTAAGTTTTCGAGCTCTGATAACTGATAAAGTTGTTACCAACAAGGGTTGTGGTGGAGTGGTAAGTACTCCTTCATCCTTAACCAAGAGGTCTCGGGTTTGAGCTCCTTGGGTACATAGTTGCCTTTATTAGGGAGCGCTTTACTCCCAAGTGGGACTTTCCGGCGCGAATCCAGATTTAGTCGGGTTCCAATGTGGGCACCCGACACCGGGTGGTAAACCAAAAAAAATTTAGTAAAGTTGTTGACATATGATTAGGAAGTCGTAGATTCAAGCTTTGAAAACAGCCTCTTGCAGAAATGTGGTAGCTTAGTGCAAACCCGTAACTAATAGTGTAGCTCCGCTATCATCAAGTAACTTATATAAGGAGTTATATGACCGAGTAAAATAATTAAATTTAGTAAAAATTTATTATGTTTACTGTTACAAGTATTGAGTAAATTTTAAAATTGCCATTGAACGATTTGTTCAATAATTAATTCTTTGTGAAAATAATAAGAAAATGTTCTCTTCCAAGACACAAATCATTTTTGACTGTCGATTTCTTTTGCCTTTTCAGAAAATAAAATAGACATATATTTCCATACATAGTAGATTCAAATCGAAAAATCAAACCTAAATAATTTTGATTCTCACATTAATAAACTGAAAATCAAATTGAATAAATAAAACTCGATGTCAGACTCTAAAAATAATAGATGAGAAAAAAAAAGTAAATGATTTTATTGATTGATTTTATAAACCTACTTATTATACGTTTCCCTATTATTTCCTTACTATAATATACAACTTAAGTTTTTAATTAACCGTATATACATATATTTATATTTAATTACAAATATAGTTTTAAATATGAACTTCACAAATTAATTAATTTTTCAATTGAAGTTAATTATTCAGTTTCCGAATTTTTTCTCTCCCTCCTTATAGGAATTCGTGCCTAAATTTATGGATGTTTTTGGAATGAAAAAAAATCATATTAAAAGTGACACTTTCATAGATGAGCTTTGTTATACGAATCTTAATTCAGTCAAATTTAAATATAAATATCGAACACTAAATAAAAAAGATGAGGCGGCTGGATAAAGATAATAAAAGTTGCATAATTATACCCCACAGAAATCAATCATTTTGTCAAAAACAGGAAATCTAATTTACTTTAAAATTATAACTTTGTTTTATTGCAAAGTGATAATTGCCAAACACGAACACGACTATATAACATCAAAGGCAAATTCTGGCTTAAATGCTACAAAAACAGGTTACATTATCTGCACCAATACTACTTTTTAAGGTCCATTTTAATAAAGTTTAGATTTTATATCATCTACTTATATCAAAAACAAGAATATCTGAATATCCAGAAACTACTCTCTCCATTTCAATTCGTTCGTCTTGTTTTGACTTGACATGAAATTTAAGAAAGTAAAGAACAATTTGAATCTTGTGATCTTATACTAATATGTTAAGTGTACTAAAATTTTGTTTAATCTTATGGTCTTTGAAACATGCAACGTGAAAAGTTAAAATTAAAAGACTTAAAAAAAAACAGACATTCTTTTAAATATATTAAAAGTAAAAGTTGAACAAATAAATCGAAACAGCAAGTATAAATTTCTCCATTATATTGACAAATGATATTTATTTTGACTCTTGTAGAAATTAGTCAATTCAAAATAATTAGTGTAACTTTTAAAATTTAAAATATAATAAAAATTATTTATTTCTGCCTTTATCTTATTCAATAAATATAAAGATTCAAATAAGTTTTTTTATCACAATTTTTTCATATAATTTTTAAATATTTTAAATTATTAATTACTGTGACTTATAATTTTTTTTACATAATTTTCAATTTAAAGATTTCATATCCAAAAGTTAAACTATTTGACTCTCGAAATACTGATCGTGTCCCATTAAGTGAGACAAAAAAAAGTACCCTAACTTTTAATCTTGAATATTTGGCTAAATAAGACAATATTGGAGTCAAAAAATTTAAAATCATCTGTTTTCACAAGATTATTTCCTATAATTTTTAGGGCAAATCACATAAATCCCACTAGTTTAGATCTTAATAACTAAGATTCTCAATAGTTTCAAATATTACTTCCTCTACCATATTTCATGATTAGGATATATGAGTCTGAATC